TTCTCTCTCTCTCTTTTTCTCTCTCTCGCTTTTGCTTCTGTTTTTAAATATAGAGATTATACATGGATATGTATATAAAAATAAGGCAACCAGAAAAAAGAAGAAGAAAAAGAAAAAGAAAAAAAAGAACACGTACGACATTTTTTTACGTTTGAATATATCGTAAACACTACAAGAGATATTTTCAAGTTTGGACACCTTGTATTTTTATTTATAGACGATTCTAATGCAAATCACAAAAATATCTCTTCAGATACATGAGATAACATAATTGCAAATAACACACATAGATCATACTCGAGAATTGTGTGTATCGATAAAAATGAAAACACTATTTTTACATGAAACAACTTTTGAAAAAATTTACTTTAAGATGTAATCTGCAAGATAAAACGAAAAAACGTAAATAAAAATTAATAAAAATATAATAAAGACAAATATGTACATATTCGTAATAGGTTGCATAAATAAATGAGATAATAAAGTTCTGAATAAATGTCTTCTATAATTATTACATTTATTGTAAAACAATTAAGCGTACAATTTTACAAATACGTTATATTAGAAAATAAGTAAATAACAAATGTATCACGTTGTAATTCGATCTCGACCGATACGAATGTTTATTTATAAAAAGAAAAAAGTATAAAAAGTAACATAAGCGAAGATTTTCGCTTACTCGATTTTATTGATCTGAAAATAGAACCTCCTAAGGTGCGTCGAAACACGATCGCGTATTTTCGAAGACAAGCAAAACACTCAAATTAAGAAGATAAACGAACGATTTTCCGTTTTCATTATTTTTCACAAAAGTATCAATAGAATATTAAAAAGGCAAGAAAAATAAAATAACAATGTATGAGAGTGTTACGTCGTTGAGCGATAAAAATGTATTCGCGGATGAGCCACGTGAAGAAAGATAGGAAAAAATGAAAAACTAAAGTAGCACGTGCGAGATTTTTGCTAGTGTTACGACGTATCGAATACTTGATATATATATCGAAGGTTTGAAACATGCGTTTTACCCCCTTCCAACATGCAACCCTTTTTGCCGGAAGGCGAATAACCACGGGGTGGTCGCGTGCCAAGTTTTTTCAACTCTCTGCATGCATATTCATCATGTGAATACAATTTTTTCCCTTTCAACAAAATTCATATTAATTATTATCTGTATCTTAATCGATCATCTTGTCGTACTATTTCTATTTAATGCTACGAAATAAAAACTAAAAAAAAAAAAAAAAAAAAAAAAAAAAAAGAAATTCTAGTAAATGAATACCGTTTAACATCCTTGCTTTATCTATTTTTGTATTTTCATTTAAATCCACTTCTCAATAATTATTCCACTGGTAATAGTAAACTTAGCCTTTTGATTTATTTTCCTTTGTTTTTTTTCCCCCTATTGTTACAGCGAGAAATTGTCACTAAGGGAGAATAGTAAAAGGGCGTGAGAAAAAGAAAAAAAAAAAAAGAAAAAAAAAGAAAAAAGGGAGAAGTAAGGTAAAAAAGGGAGCAATTTTGATCGAGGCGAAACAATGATACCATCTTTTTTCCATTTCGCCATTATAAATCTAAACAGAGTCTTTTTTCTCGTGGGATGCTTTTCCCTTTGAAACACGACTGCTTTTATGAAGAAGCCCTACACACATTTATGCATACCTTTATACACGCATACACCCACATATATGCACATACATGCACATACGTTTCTCAGCGAAGAGGATAACGCTACAATTGGAGCAAACTTTTACAACCCTTAATATGTGTGCACATACTTATATACGTATGTACGTATGTATGAGTAAGATAGAGATAGAAGTAAGCAGATAAAACGAGGTCGAATCGAATTCGTAGGAGAAATTTCAATCCTAGTTATATGCCAGACCGAAATACTCTTTTAAACTCCATTACATACAAGAGTGTAGTCTCCTCTTCCTTATGTAACATTTTTCAACCATTTTCTATTTTTCTTTTGATAAATGATTGCGCATTTATCACCCACACAATGGTGGTGTCCTATTTTAATTCAATCATTTTAAAGAAAAAATTTCTATTCGAAAGCTCTTATCTAAATGAATTAATCTATTTAAATAGTTTTTCAAACATATTTTCCAAAGAGTATCAACAATTTCTAAACTTACAATTAATCCATTACCATTACAACAATAGGGCTTTTTTGGGACGCATTTTCTCAAGAATTTTTTTTTTTTTGTTAATAACTGTAACTTCAAATTGAAATATATTCGTTCAAATCGTGAGATCGTAGCATGAAATCATCGTATCATGAAAATATTACAAATTCTCAATATTTTATTTTAAATCAACAAATAATTATTGTGTGTGTGTGTGTACAATATAGTATTGTGGCGGGTAATATGAATATTCTTTTTTCAATAGAAAACCATACATACTTATGTTAGATAAGTGTACGATGATATAATGGAAACGACAAAAGTTGACCTATAAAAGAAGATAAAAATAGAAATTAAGGGATTATCTAGATACCTACTTACATAGATAGATAAAAGGAAAATAATAAATACAGTTAGTTAGTTCGATATCGTGTAACATAATAATGAAGAAAAATAAGAGGAAGAGTTTTGAAATGCTGCTTCGTGACTATCGTCACGTATCATCGGAATAGTTGCTTTTACGTACCCAAACTAAACTTTTTACCTCTTTTAACTGGGCCAAACCTTTTCTTTTTTAAACCCAACCACCAAAAGGGAGAATATTTTTTTAAAAATAATTTTCTATATGTCACATGACAGGTAAAACAACATTTAGTCTCAGCTGATCTCGCGTTATTGTCGTCTAGACGTTAAAAAATCTAGCCTTGACATTCTTCATTCGACTACGTACCAAGTTTTTGATCTCTCTCTCTCTCTCTCTCTCTTTTAGTCTATGCGTACGCGCATCTGCGTATGTGTGTGTGCGCGTGCGCGTGTGGTTGACGTATTTCAATGGTAAGAATAAATAAAAAAAATGATTGTCGTAAAATTTCTTTACTGTAATGTCATACGTAACTGTTTTTAAATTGCCAGACAAATTATCAAACGAGAAATAACAAAAAAATATGGTTTCTATTCTATTACATCATAGATATAATACATATGTATAAATGTACGCAATATATGTAGGTATGATCGACTTATGGAAAATGAAAAATAAAAAAAACAAAAAAATGGAGTAAGAGTCGTAAAGGTTTTTTTTTTTTTAACGATTTCCATATGCTATAGCAACGGAATCTCGGTCAACAATCGCGTATATGTTTTTCTTTCTATATTTCTCGCGTATTTCAATGAATCGTATCAACCTATAGCGAGTAAATTTATTTCCAAAAAAAAAAAAAAAACAAAAAAAAGAATTATAATGAAACAAAATTTCTAGCTACTAATTGACAAATTCAGTGAAAAATTAACCTTTTTGCGTGGGTAAACGTGAGGAATAAAAAAAAAAAAAATAAAGAAAAACATTTATTAGACAAGAGTTAATAAAAGAAAAGCTGATTTACGCACTTATGATGCGAGGAAACAGAGGATTAATAAAAAAAAAAAAAAAACATTATGCCTGCCTAGTATGAGTCAGAATGAGAGGAGAGTCACACGCGAGATGCAACACGAATGCGAATTCCACGATTTGCTTTTACGAAGCGAAACGCGAGACGACCTCAAATTAGACGACGCCTAATCTCGAGTTTAGAAGTTTCTTCGTCATCGTCGTCGTCGAACATACGGAGAAGATATTACCAAGAGGTCATTTCTTTTTAGTGCTAATTTTAAAATAATAATATTAAAGAAAAAAAAGAACTCTTCTTATTCTTTTCCCTGCATTCTCTCTCTCTCTCTCTCTCTCTCTCTCTCTCTCTTAAAATATTTTGTTGTTTTACTTTAACGTTGACCCAGCACGCGAACTCCTTCGCGATATCGATCGTCTTCGAAGCTAACACAAATGCAACAACATAAGTTGACTCGAGACTCTTCCTATACTTATGACTACTGAAAAGAACAAAATATATATGTAATATAATATAATAAATATAATATAATATAATGTTGTAAAATGGAAATAATGCATTGAAAGGTATATGTCATTTATTCTATTCCTGAGATTTATTAAATTTACAAAAATCAAATGTTACATGAAGTAGAAATTTGGAATAAAAATCATCTTAACTAATCTGGTATATCTAGTGTTAAACGATAAACCTAAGGATGGTTTTTACGTATACCTGCAAACACTATGGCGTAAATTCAAAATTGAAAATTGGTTACACTTTGAATATTAATTAAGTCAAGTTTTTGTAACCTAATAACCTATAAAATGATATAAAATTAATTAAATAAAGACAATTGTTCCTGCATTTGGACTTTTCTTAAATTGACCTAATTAATTTCCAATAATATTTATATAAATATATATTATTCTCCTTAATGAATGAAAGTAAATGAAGAAATATCAAAATTTAGTAATTTGAATAAAAATTCAATTGATGTCCAAGAAAGAAAGAGAGAGAAAAAGGGAGAGAATACCATGGTAATCAGCTAAAAATAGTAAGCTTCCGCTTTTATTCTCTCCAATACGTCTTCTTGTATCTGAAGCATGAAAATACACGCATACACACACATTATATATGTGAATTTGTAAATCAGATTAAATTTCAAGAGAAAATATCAATTCAAAAGATTTGCAGATTTATCTCTAACCAGACTAAACAAATAAATATGCGAAACAATAAATTCGACTAAATGAAATAAAAAAAAAAAAAGCGATAAAGATAAAAAGTGTTGGTGTGTGTGTGTGGAATATTTGAAAGTGTTTCAAATTCGACCTAGTCGAGTACAAAATGGCATCTGTTCGGAATAATTTCGATCGAGTTCGGAAGCAGGAAAAGATCGAGGCAAAGAATTCCTTTCGTTAAACGAAGGTTAACGGAAGGAAATAGAAAGGAATAAAAGTAGAAAAAAAAAAAAAAAAGAAATGGATTAGAATGTTCTTACCCTTAGCTCTGCGAGCCAGATGCGAAATATTTTGTCTGAGAACCTTAAGCCACATCTTGGCGCCTGTTTCCTTGTTTTCTAAATTGGAGGTAGGCAAGGACGTTTTCCTGCGATTTCGACGTTTAATTGGTATTGTTGGTGCTTCCCTCTTAGGGGGAGGAAGCATAAGAAAACAGGATGCCACATGCCCTTCCACTTTGATCACAATTTTTTGTACGTACTTTCAAAAGAAAATGTCTCTCTAAATTTTTTTTTTTTTTTTTTTTTAATTTTCGTTCTTTCAAAGATAACAACACACTCAGTAAATATATTATTACTTTCAATAATAACGATCGATCGATATCTTCGATAATTCGTTAATATCGAGTTAATATCGAAATTACGTTACGAGATGAATGTTCTTCAAATGAAGTAAGGAAATATTGAATAAAAAACAAATATATAAAAGAGAACGTTCTTCACAGATGAAATATCGGAGCAAGACAAACACTAACAGCAGGGATACGCATGACTTTTATACACGCTCGTTGGATCACGTAGGCACACGTTAGATTCGTCGTCGTCGTTCGTACAGTTGAGTGAGCCTTCCCACAATAACTACTATCCAAGCACGATAATATCGGCCCCCGGGCCTTGAACGAGTATACTACACACCTATATATCGCCGTCAAAGTCTTCCTCCTCCTCTCTTCTTGTTTACCAAAGAGTACGAGAAACGACGTCGTTTTACGCGATAGATTATACGTAAGTAAGCAAGTAGTACTCCTACGACAGTTAATGTGTTCCTTAACGTCCTTACTCGCCGGCGTATGTACGCTCTACTGCACGACTCGTTGCTGCGCACGCAACTCCAATGGAAGGGGAGTCAAACCACCGAGAGCGCTGATTGGTTAACACGCTACCGCCCAAGGAGGGATGCGCGGTAACGAGAGGAAAGACCACGTGATTTCTTGCCGCCTTATCGCCGCCAAATTCGAATCTAAATAATATCTATTTTTGAATATTTTTTAAATACTCTTATTAACCCTTTGTCTCCTTATGGAGACAATGAAAAATTAAAAAAAAAAAGAAAAAAAAACTAAAGCAAATTCAATTTTTTAATGCTCATATATCATTTACTTGTAAAATACGTGAATATGATTTTTCTATTGAAATTTTTATTAGATTATTATCATTATTCTCGATAAAAACTTTCAATACTTTCTTTATCATACATATATGTTATTCTATCAATAAGAAAATATTTATTTTCTCTTTTGCTACGAAATTATATTTCCTTATAAAGTTTTGTATTATTATCGGTGATAGATGAAAAAAAGAAAAAGAAAAAAACCAAAGCGTAGATATGGAGAAAAATAAATTTCTATTCTATTCTTTTCAGTTAAAATCGAAAATTGTTTTCCGATTACTTTGGCAAGGTTTTCTATTTTCAAGTTTTCGGATTACTCGTACAAATACTCTCTTTATATTTACTTTTTTCTATTTTTTCTCTTTTTACCACAAGCTAATTTGTTTTTACATTCTATTTTGACTCGACGTAAATATATCGATTACTAAGGTCTGAAGATTGCATACCTCTTTCACTGTGTATGAGTTAATTAGAAAGAATGTGTGAATAAAAAAAAATGAAACGATTTAAATCCGGTCTCGTACCAGTTTAATCTGCAACGATTCGTTAACGCTTGATATATAAATACACACACGCTACACACGTGCGTATACACATCGAATATATCACCATATAATAATTATCTTTTCTACCAAAGCATATACATGATTAAACGAAAACAAAGTTAAATTGTCAAAGAACACTTGAGAATATACAGGTATACAGATATACAGATATATAAAGATCACTGATAATTAATATAATAAGAAATTTAACAATTAACACGATGATTCAATGTTATCTGATTTCACTTAACGATCATGAGTTTTGTACGAAAACGTGATTAATTCGGTTCAGCCACGTGAGATTTTAAAGATAAGATCTCTCGTTTAAAATGTTAATTTAAAAACTAATAGATCACCCTCTCTCTCGAATTTGATTGAAATATAAATATACTCGTATAACTCTGTATTTGGAACTTTGTCAATATATATTTTAAAACGTGTGAAAACACATGAATACGACGATTAAGCTGGTATAATAAATGTAATAATCTTGCGTTTATTATATTCAATTTCACAATTTTACTATCTCTCTCTCTCTCTCTCTTTTTTGTTTTTTAATCTTTCCAACTATTTCCTGAATAATATCCAAAAAAATATCGCAAGAGGAAGTTAATTAAATGCGAAGTATTTAATATATAAACAAAAATATAACAAAAAAGAAGAAAAAATAGAGTAGGTGGAAGATATTAAATTGAAAGGACAATGGAAAGTTATTTATTCAAGATTATAATCATAATTAAAACTCTCCGATAAAAGTCTCACTCGAATATTATCGGTAAAAGAGAATTTAGAACTACGACCGACATTAATAATAGCCCCTGACCACTCTCTTACCTCCTCGAATTACCCCAGTCCTTATGAATAATGCATTTTCTTCAGAAAATTATTGCGAGCTTCGAAAGAGGGACACAATTAAATATAAAAACAATGTATAATAATTAGGAGAAATGAATTAGATCACGTATGATGAATAAATGATCATTTTCAATAAGAGAATATTTATCATACAAGGATAGAAATATACGAGACTGAACTTTGACTATGATATAAATTATAATATATAATATTAAATGTTAAAAGTGCATTTCAAAAAAAAAAAAATGAAAATAATTTAAATTAGAAAGAGTATTACATTTAAATTGTGATGAATTAACAAACGTCGCATGTGCGTGTGTGTGTGTGTGTGACGCGTTCTTTCTTTATACCCACGTAATATGTCAAATATCACAAAGACATTTAAAAAACAAAACTCTCTTCCTCTCTCTTTTGTATAACTAAACTGTCGAACTTGAAATAGAGAGAATGTCCTGTAGTTGATGACGTTTGAGAGATAGTTAAAAATCTATAGAATTTCAGAAACGTTTGCTTCACCAACTCGAACCAAGTCATTCGAATAATTTCTATTTAATCGAACAAATCATATCTACTATCATTTAACTATTCATTAATTGTGCCAATGATAAAAAAAAACCAATTACCAGCTTGGTAATTTTTTGTTCTTTCAATTGTAATATTTTAATTAACAAAATGTCGATTTTATATGTTAAAAATAATCGACAAGTCTTGTCATTTGTCTAAAAGAAATATAATAAATTCTTACGAAATTGTACACGTATATGTTTCACCGGTTATATTTAGAATGACCGTTGTAATTATGTCGAGGTAATTAAGGAATTAGTTGAAGCAGATGTTTGTTCTGACTTAGAGAAAGGTCACTATTAAAGGCGCCATTTAAATCGATCAGAAAAAACAACGAGATTTGTCCTTTATATTTTCCTTCGATATTTCATTGACAAATTTCTACAAAAAATACAAATAATTTTGTAATAATAAATGAAAATACTTTTTCAAGCGAATCCGCGATAATAATGTGATTATAATTGAACCAATTTATTTAACAAGATTTCCAAAATGAAGAAAAATCAAACAATCCCGTAAAATAATAATGCAATATTATAATCAAATTTGAAACAAAGATAAATCCATTATGAATCGAGTAAAGTTTTCATTTCTGATCGATCATCGGTCATCGTTATCTCACATACACTGACTAACTAATACTGTATTAATTTTATGAAAGTAATCATAAGTTTTCTTCCTCCCACTCCCACCCTCCCCCTTTTCTCTCTCTCTCTCTCTCTCTCTCTATTTGCGTTTAGAAAGGAGAAGTGAATAGAGGAGGATAGGAAACGTTGACGGTTCAGCGCATAGATTAATCAACGCGCGTCCGTTTAATTAGAATCATCGAACCAACAATTACTTGGCGGAACCAGATTGACGGAGTAACGACGCCAATTACGTCAACAATGGATGTCCCTAGCAATATTATATACAGAGTGCAACAAAATTACACAACTAAAATTCCAAATAATATTATTACACTTAAGCAAATAATTAAAATATTTCATATTATTAAATCATACAAAATCTTATCAATCGGAAAAGTTTTCTATTTTAGGATTGAAATTTGATAGTGATCAAATAAATGTATGTATATTTTGACTAAATCCTGTATATTTTATTTCCTCCAGAATGTGAAAAGCCGATAACCGATTATCTACACTCTGACCTACAACAATGTTATTTGAGAGAGACTATTCGTAAGAAAAATGAAAAAGAGGGAACAAAAATCTCTGTGTGCATTTGTTAACCTAATCGAATGAAATAAAAAGACTTAGATAAATAAACTCTACTCGATGAATCGAAAAATATCAAATAAACGAAATGAAAATAAATAATTTAGACACAAAACTCACGTATGGAGTCTCCATTTTTCTTGTTGCTATTGTTCTTGTTCTTCTTGTTCTTTATATAGATGTTACCAATTTTACTCTGGCCACAACCCATCCTGTTGTTCACCGTTTACCTCATGCGACAGCAAGAGACCTAGGAATTCACTCGTACACAAAATAACAATACTATCGTCGTGTGCTTTTCTTCCTCTTGATCTTCTTATTCTTATTCTTATTTAAATTTTGTATTCGAACTATCAGAGAGTATCTTCTATCCTTTCTCTTTTACATTCCTTTCACTTCTTTCACATTAAAAAAAGATCAATGAATCAATGAATCTTACAAGAGGACGATCAACTTTCTTCAACGAATCCTAAATTCCAATATTTTCCTTTTTTCTTCTTCTTCTTCTTCTTCTTCTTCTTCTTCTTCTTCTTCTTCTTCTTCTTCTTCTTATTCTTCTTCTTCTTCTTATTCTTTGATACAATTTTTTTTTTTAGATAATAAACAGTTTATATAAATATCAGTATTAATATTAATATATCAGCCTTTGCGCAACACACAATATATACATATAAATATTCTTCTTTCTCTTTTCTTCTTTACATAGACACTCAATAAACATTCATATATTCTATATATTTCTATAATATGTTACAAATAAAGTTATACAGTGTATACGTGAACAAGACAAGATTGTATAGTTATTTTCTCTCTCCCTCTCTCTCTCTCTCTCTCTTGTTCTTTTTCTCTTTCTCCTTTTTCCTCTCTCACTTTCTTTTGTATTTCTTTATATTTATTTATCAATTTATTTATCTATTTTCCTCATATACACATCTTTCAATGATACTTGTAGAACCCGCCTGTTCAGAGTGCAAAACGTCACGACGACGATGAGTGAAGGACAACGATTGGAAGAGAAATATGTATAGTTATGTTTGTACGTTTGTATATATATATATATATATATATATATATATATATATATATATACGGGATACGTGTCGTGTACGTGTACGTGTACGTGTACGTGTAGAAAAAGAAGAAAAAATATTGAAAAGAAAAATGAAGAACCTTGGGGGAGCTCTCAAGAAGATATGTGACTTGTCGATAATAACTTTGAAAAAAGAAAAGAAAAGAAAAGAAAAGGAAAAGGAAAAGGAAATAAAATAGAAAATGGAGATCGGAACGCGAATTTGATCAAATCAGTCTTTTCGCTGTTAGACAAAACATCCTCCTCCTCTTTAACGATTCCTTTTTTATCTTCTTCTTGATTTTTTGGCTTCTGACAATGTTTCTTGTTGTTCTTCTTGATTATTGTTTTTTTTTTTTTTTTTTTTTTTTTTCATAAAATTTATAAGCATCCCGATAATAGTAACTTGTGAAAAATTACACGAGTATATTTAAATATATTTTTTGAAGATAAATATTTTCAGTCTTTTTCGTACACGTCGAGGGGGAAAATAAAAGATTGTACGACGAAGTAGTGGTTGCAGTCTTGCGTTTTAGGAATTCGTTCACCGTGATAGAGTCCTCAGGAGGGTCCTCCTATAAATCCAAATGAAGATACGATGTACAATCATAAACTATTATGATAAATTTTCGAGCTTGTTTTATTGTTAGTTGATTTGAAGAAAAAAAAAAAAAAAAAAAAAAATTCAAGCATAATCAACCTTCGTCATAAAAAGCAATTTCACATAAATATCTATATTATCTGTACAAATATGGAAGAAGGACATAAGAAAATAAATGCATGTTATTACCCGAGTCCATACGTCCAATCCATTCTGCTTAGCTCATCTGTTCTCTACGGCATGGTATAAACATCGGTGCTATCATCTATCCCATGTCCAAAGCGACGTCTTCAACATCTTTTAGTCTCGTTGTTCTACACATTCGTATCTTTTTTTTTTGTTTTTGTTTTTTTTTCTTTTCTAAATATCTTACTACACTCCAATTACGTCTGTAATAGACAACACACTTTTTGCGTGTTTTTTCTTCAAAATTCTTCCAAAAAATAATATATATGTTATCAATTTGGATCAATTTTGGGTTGGATAGCGTGAAACATATATAAAATTCATCGAAAAGATTAAGAGAAAGAGAAGAAATAAATCAAAAAATAAAATGCAAGTTAAAAGACCCGTTTGTTGTGTGTGACAAAAAAATTTTCGTCAACAATTTTAACGATGACTCAAAGAATCGAAATGAAAAGAAATATCGAAATTAGGATGATTGTTTTCAATTTTTCGATCTAACAAGAAATATGTTTCTTTTACATTTTTCTATGTGAAACGACGTATGAAAACGACGAGTTTTACGACTATGGCCAGGTGAAGTTCTTCCCTTCTCGATAATTCGGACTCAGCTGCTGCTAAATGAACAAAACAAAAAAAGAAAGAAAAATAAATTTACATCGAATTAGCATCCTTCATTTTTCTTCGTATTGCTGATCATTTACATCCATTCTCTAGTTATTTTTTTTTTTTTTTTTCATTAAATTATTCAAATAATCGAGATTTCATTTATCGAAAAATATGATTGCAATATATTTTGTTATGCATTTATTTTCATTACTGACGTTGGCAACTTCTTTTATATACAATATAATAATAATAATAATAATAATAATAATAATAATAATAATAATAATAATAATAATTAATATATAACTGTACACGTGTTACATATGTATAAAACGATGGTTACTTATGTGTCAGCGTTATGAATACTGATTTATTTTATTTTATAATAATTTAAATTTCATTTTACTAAAGCAGGTAAATCATATCGATATTTCATTTCTCGAAAAGAATTAGGAAATGTGATTTAATATTAATAGATAGAATTTATCGAGAGAAAGAGAAGAAGAAAGAGAAATGATTTAGCAAAAGAAGTTACTGATAGAAATTCTTATCAGCAATATTCACCTTATCATTCAACTTATCGATTCGATATAGAAACATAGCGTTTATTTAAAAAAAAAAAAAAAAAAAAAACAAAAAGAAAAAAAAGACAAAAGACTTGACGGTTATTCCTCGGAATAATTCTCATCAATTTTATTCGATATTTTGTATTCATTTAATGTGGACAAATATTGAAATAATATTTCGATTTGAATGTTCAAAACCTGTTGCTCTTTTCGAACAGACGAATGAAAAACTAGGGGACATGGAAATACACAAATACGCCTTTATAATTGTACGAAACTAATTAATTGGTTCAATTTCTACAGAAATCTATCGAACATAGATTTGAAATTACAATGAAATTTTCATCGAAGATTGAATTTTATTTAATGTTCAAATAAGATGAAACCAAAAAACAAATAAACCATAGATATCATCAAACAATTGAAGTCCACATTAGACGTTTTAATTTCATTCAAAGTCTATAATTATTTCTATATTAAATATAAATAAAGGAATTGGTTTTAGCAAAAATGTTTTACAAAGACGTAGAAAAAATGATGAAAGAAATGAAAGAAAAAAAGGAATAGAAAATGAAATGAACGATGACGGAAGGATTTATCGTCCATTAAATTGTTACTCTCGTGAAGTGTTAGTTCGATCGATCGAATTTAATCTTATCTCAACGTAGCTGCACACCTAGTAGATTAATTTATACTTTATTCTGGTCGTTCCTACCTTCTTCTTTTCGCGATCCCTAAATCAACTACCTACACGAATCAAAAGAAATCTCTCTCTCTCTCTCTCTCTCTCTCTCTCTCTCTCTCTCTCTCTTTTTCATTTTAACTTTCATTTTCTCTTTTCCTAAGAAGTGTGTATTCAAAGTAAGTTTATTTTTTCTATCTCTCCTACTTCAAGTTTAATTTTCGCACCTCATTTGTTATTCACACGATAAGCTTTTAAAAAAAAAATGTATTTCTATGGAAGAGAAAGAGAAAGAATGCAAAGAGAGAAGGTAACGTACAATGACCTTGATTTAATTCGACGGAAAAGAACCGACTGAAAAATTCATGAGTATGGTTTCATCGATCCTAACTTAAGAATGATCCTACTTAACCATCGCATTAGAACAACAATGACTATTAAATGATATAGAACGCGCACGTATATAAAAAACAATTTTTTTTTCTGTAATTTTCTACCATTTCTTCTTGTCACGTTAAGTTGATTTTCTTTATCTTTTGCAACTATGTATTTATACACTATTTGCAACATACTAACATGTATACGAATGCATATACACGGAAACGAGAATGTACAAGCTTACTACGTAAAGTTCGTATCAGCGTTTAATCATCAAACGGAAGTATCGAGTGCGATGTACTTGCGATATACTTGCGATATACTTGCGATATACTTGCGATATACTTGCAATGATTTACGACATTTATAGATTTGTATGTTTGTACGTGAATTTACGTGGTTTTAAATGAACAAGGTAAAAAACTGCTGTGTTTTGTACGTGCGTATAGTACGTGATTAGAAAATCATTATCGTTCTCTTCCACCCTTCCTTTCTTCTGAAATTAAAAGTAATAAACATTGTTATAAATGAACCGAACAATGTGCAGATACTTATAAATTGAAACAATATTGATTTAATATTAAGAATAATTTTGCAGAAAATATTATGAACTCGTAGAACGATTGTTCAATAAAGAAAATAAAAGAAAAAAAAAGCAGAAAAATACACTTAATAAATTCCTCTACAACTTGCTCGAAATGTTATGAAATTGCCCACTTTTGAGTTTAGAATCGATATTAGATTTTCGTTAATTTTACAATCTTCTTCTTTTTCTTATTTTCTCTCTGCAATAAATATTTCGTCGCGTGGCTCCTCTACGTGCAACACTTCCGCATTCTTATTATATTTTTATTTTCTTTCTTGATTTATTCTTTTTTTACGTCGAATAACGTGACACACATAGTCGTAAGAAAAACACATAGACAATAAAAAGAAACTGCGAAGTGGAGGAGGAGGAGGAGGACGACGACAACTAGAAGTAACGTATACTAAACATTAAATTTGTTATTATATTGACAGGATCCTCCGCCACTGGATGATCAGAGAATACTGACCATACAGACCATACTACCATTACCAACACCATTACCACCACCACCATCACCACCACCACACCCGCGCCTTTGGATTTCGCGCAAAGAAAGCAATATGGCGATCGATATGTATGTATAACGCGGTTAGCCGCTTTTGACAGTTCGATGACACGAAATATAAACACGTTCGCCATATCTATATTCGAAGAAATTTTTCAAATGAGAGACACAAATTCACCCAAAAAAAAAAAGAAAAACAATATGAAAAGAATACAACGAGATAACAAATCATTCTTAATCCCCTTGACCTCGTAATTTGACCATAAACAAATGATACAGGCATGTATCGTTTACATAGTAAAAAATATAAAAATAAAAAAAAAATAAATTTCTTTTGGCACGCAAAAAAAGAAAAAAGATAATAAATATAAAGCGTGATGTATCTTTGCCTCTTTCTCTCGCTCTCGCTCTCGCTCTTACTCTTACTCTTTAGAAGACGAGAGGAAATGTGGTGGGAGTGGTAAGTAAAGAAGATCCCAACGTCAGCCGAAAATTTCGATTTCTATACTCAACTAACCTCGTTCTTCTTAATAGAGACCAGACGACGCACGCATGTACATGCATATACACGCATATAAGCACGCGCGCGCACGTACACATACAAACACACAGACGTGTCCACCTGTTTTTCGGTCGTTTAGAAAGAGATACGGTCGTAGGCAGCACCCACACCCACACCTACACCCACACACGTATTATACAGAGAAACACAAGAGAGACACTCTTGACAATTTATAAAATTCAATTATATTTTTCTCGTTAAAACTTAAAAGAAGAAGAAGAAGAGAGAGAAGAAGAAGAAGAAGAAAAAAATAGTATCTCTGTTTATAAAAATTTTAAATGACAAGAAATAAAAAGTGTTTTTGGAATATAAATTATAAATTATAAAATAAATGAATAAAGAAAGAAGAAAAAGGAAAAAAAAATCAAAGAGAGAATTTGATGTACCGCGCGAAAAGACGAAGAGAGAACGTTTCGCACACATTCACCACCCTCGAGGCTCTAACATCGACTATTCGTCCGGTCGAGGCGCCAGCTGCACTGCGCATGCGCGCCCATCCCCGCCATTACTACTCCAAAACACATATATACACGCATACACGCATATCCTACTCGACGAGAGCACCCTACTATCTCTCTCTCTCCTTTTAAACTAGGCTATTCGTGTGTATGTATATGTGTGTGTGCATATACGTTCGTATATTAACGTGTGTGTATCTCTCCACCTATTGCGAGCTACTCACACTGCACTCTATTCTACAGGGTGTTCTGAAAATAAATTTACGTTTATTGTCAGTGAATAATAATTTTGTTGTCCTACGATCTATTCATCAATTTTATCGATTTATTTATACATTGCAATTATTTCTTTATGCTATTAAATATTTCATTATGATTTTCTAAGTTTGTTCTTTGTAATTAATGACGAGATTTATTTATTTATTTAATTGCAATAGAACACCTCTTATAAATAGCGTTTTAGGGTGCGTTCATATACTCTCAACCTTCTCAGGAGTAAGTTCGGTTAATGTATTCGTGTCTTGTGTATTCGTTGTCAGGGCTGGCTCAAAGAAGACGGATATTTAAAGCTAACGAGATTGGGAGCTTCTACTTGTCGCATCTAAGGATTTTAGTTTAGAGAAATATGTATGAAAAAATATGTCAGTATTTTCATATTTCAGGTTTCGGCTATGAAATCCTTCATCCCTCATCTAATCTTTAAGCTATCAAGAGAAATAAAAACTAATCATTTGTATCCCGTTACGTATGTACGTATCAGATGCCGGTACAATGTTGCACGTAAAAAGTTAAATGCAAAGTCCGAATTAAAACTTGTGCCAAGATCTAAATAAATAAATTATTTGCGCGCGTTCAATCATTTGTTTATGAATCGTGGATTTCTCTATTTTGTAGATAGATTATGTTGCTGACTAAAAAAAACTTTAAACAAGTATTGTGTACATGCACTTGGAAGTATCGTAAGTACATAAAACAATAGGATTGAATCTCTACAATTGTGGAACACGGAGAAGGCTTCAAATCACTCATGAAAACCAGATTCTTCCGGCCACAAGACGCTTCTAATCATTTTTCCCTTATCATCTTTAAACCAAAATTTAAATAGATTATACTCGCTGATGAAAAGCGGAAGTTAACGCGAATGAACGAATTAAAATTCGTAAGATAAAATGGATTCTTTTGCGTGTAAAAAATGTGACGTATTTTGCGAGATAATGTTTTTCCCCACGAAAATATATAATCTGTATGATAAAAAAAGATAAGAAAAACATAATAAAAAAAAAAAAAAACTATGAGTAGAAAATATTACTTACAGCGTGTTACACACACTAATCGAACAAAATCGATCGAAAGGCTTTATCTATCGGCACCGTTTATTCTCCTGACATTGTTATTTTATCGAAATAAAAGCATATTTTTCTAGGTCTTCCGGTCTCTCTGTCTCATCGTGAGTATGCTGTCAATTAACCCTTTTGCTTCATTATCAGAAAAAAAAAAAAAGAAAATATTTTCTTTTAGACTTGATCAATTGCGACCACTAACGCCACCTGCAAACGATTATCGAAATTATTTTTCTCAAGATATACTACTACGTAAATAAACTTGCTGATGGTATGTTAAAAATATAATCACTAATAAGCGATAAGAGAGAGACGATTCATTTCAAATCTAAATTCGTTAATTATTTATTGGATTTTTCAATAAATAATGTCAGAGTGCTTATTAGTTTTTTATTTTAATTATCAACACCAATATTTTTTGTTAAAAGTTATTGATATTTTGTATTCAAATAAAAAACGCTATAGTATTAATTTTCTTTTCTATTTGAATAAATAAATAACATGAATAGTATTATTTTTTATTTTACATTTTGGCTTATCCTCGCTTAAAAAACTAATACAGGTGATATTTTTTCTAGTCAACTCTACTTTTTGGCTATAAAAGTCTCAACGAAGGTCGACCTTGGTATTAGAGGGCTGAGAACTTCATGTAGGATTACTAGCCTCTTGCGAGGGTCATTCCAACAGGGATTCCCAGCTTTTGAAATATCGTAACGGGTCTTGTCATTGTCATTGTCATTGTCATCGTCTTGTCACGTTCCAGGCCTTTCAGACGACACGATCAGCAGCCCACTGTGTAAGCGTGATGCACAGTAATAAATACCCAGCACGTTCATCTCTTTTGCTAAAAGAAATAAAAATAAACAAAACTGCCGACGAAAAAAAAAAAACAAGAAAATGATCGGAAAAATTCTATTGATTTGGAAACTCGTTTGAAATTGAAAGAATAGATGACTTAATTTAGGTTTGTATCTAAATTAAACCATGTTTTGCAAAGAAAACTATCAACCCTCAATTATCTGAAATTGTGTAAACTTATTTTGGAAGATTTACATTTAAAGAAAAAAGCTAATTGTATTTCTTATTGACCAAAAAGTTCTTCTATGGATTGGCTAATTTTGTGCTAAATAAGAATTTTGTTAAAACGGTTGCTAGATTTCTGAATAACTTGGCCCCAATTATCTCTTGAGATTGAAGGATCTTTCAAGTAATAAATTCTATTAATGTTGTCCGGACGTTCGTTCAAATGCAATTACACGATTGCATCTAATGCTACGATATATATATAAAGTATATAACTCTTCTCTTCGCATACGATGACCCGATTAAAGTAACAAGAACTTTGTATGTACACGTATATATTATATCAATATTATGTGTTAATCGTTCAACTTTTTTGTAGAAAATATAAATCAAAAGGACCAAAGAAGATACAGGAGGGATTAAAAAAATCCTAAATTTTAAATTAATAATAAAAAATAATTAGAGAGAAAGACAAATAACAAATAGGAATGTTTGCGTGTACGCGAAGATAAAGTAAATTTTTATTTTTTTACCTTTTTTTGTGGTTGATTACAATGATCGATTGATCTCTCGTTGCGATTAATTAAATTAAGTATCTCCAATAGCCATAACTACGCAATCTCGTTTACAAGACAGCCGTTCGTTTTTCGTAGACGACGACGACGACGACGACGACGACGACGACGAACGAGGGGTGAGTTAGGCGAATCGGCTCAAGAATTGGGTTTAAACCCAGCGCAATTTATCAAGAATCAAGCTTGTATGATTATTTTGTCATCTTCTAATTGTTTCCTTTGGCTTTTGCCTTTTCAACACCTTTAATATCACATCAATGTCATTGTCATTTCAACATATGTAAGTATAGCAAAAAATTCTAACTGCTAAAAATTGTCCATCATCTCTTCCCCGACGATTTTTTTTTTTAACTTTCCAACTATTACAAATAAATCTCCAAACGAATGGAGAATACGATTTTAGCGTAATTCAAAATAAAGTCAAAGAAGAAATTGAAGGATTAACGTAAAAACGCACAAATCGTGATCCCCAATTTTCTGTTTCACACACGACACGCATACGCATACGCATACGCAACGCACGCACGCGCACACATACACACGGAATATCGCCTTACAAATATCTATTTATGCATGTATATATACACGATATATAGGTTGAAGCAATGTATAGTGTACAGAGGAATGTTTTCTGAACAAAAAATGAAAATCAAAATGAAAAAGAAATAATAAATTTACATATCAAACTGTCCATAGATATAACAACAACAACAACGTTGCATAAAAGAAGAAGAGAAGTTCAACATGGCGCGAACAGAGGATGTGCTCACTCGTGTGTGCGTGGAAGTGTAGTACATGTGCCCATCTATGTATACATGTATGTATGTATGTATGTAACACTATTCGTTTATGGGTTTCCGTTCGTGGTTCGAATATTATTACGAAACAACGGCAAAATATTTCGAGACTACCATCTACGAAAGTCAAGCAACATCGAATAACGGGACTAACGAACGAAATATTTTTTCTTCCTTTCTTTCTTTCTTTCTTTCTCGTTTTTGATACAAATATCGAAGAGAAATGAAAATATTAACGGGATTATTTAAGATCTAATTGTAAGTATATTTAGCGAAAAGTGTCTATTAAAGTTGTTTTATATTTGTTTAAAAATGTACAAGTAACTTATTATACTGATACGCGTTATACGTTAAATATACATACATACATACATACATGCATGCAACATGCATCCAAATGCATGCATGCATGTGTACAATGACACATATTATATCCTAAAACGTCCACGTGTACTTTCTTCTGTTCTTTTCATTTCTATCTCTATCTTTTTTTATGTATTAGTTCGTTCGTCGCCAATTTTCAATGTCACTTGATAATTATTCACATCACACACGGGTTCACTGTTTCTCCGTCACGAGAAAGCGTCAAATAACGAATACAATGTAAAAATGTCTTCCTATATATATTTTACGTATTTCATTTAAAATGAAACTTATTGTTAATCTTATTCCCTCTCTCTCTCTCTCTTTCTCATTCGTTCGCATTAATTAAATACATGTTTACGTACACCTCTAAATTAAAGTTATTCTTTTCACGTGCTTCATCCTCTCTCTTTCTCTCACACGTACGCGCGTGCGCGCGCATACACACACACACACGCACACATAATTTTTAAACTAACCGATTTAAAAAACTTTACGAGAATTAATTTGAAATATTGTCTAAATCTGTCACAAGCAAAAGGAAAAAGAAAACGCGCCTGTTCTTATATTGTTTTTAATTATCTATTGCATATTAATAGCAACAATATTATTATTATTACCTCTTACAAAGTCGTTTATCTATACACAATTATCTTTACAATAAATAAAGCTATGCAAACTTGGCGGCTAATCGTTGTAGACACAACGACATCTCCTAACGGATTTATCGCATTAGTTTGCTATAATAATTATAATAATAATAACAATAATAATAATAATAATAATAATAGTATAATAATAGTATAGAGTAATTATAATAATAATAATAATAATAAAATGAAACTACATAACAGCGCTAAAATTTCTTTTCTCTCTCTCTCTTACTTGTGCGCACGCACACACACACACACACAGAGCACACATAGAGCACACGCTCAATCTGTGTATACTTTTTATTTTCTTAGTGGCAATATAACCATTCTTATCGCGTATAAATAAATAAATAATCGATCAGGATATTCCCACGAGATAATAATATAATATATGTTTCAGGTAATAGTGAGACACTTTTTAAACGATCACTCGTTTTATTTTACTTTATTTTATTCTTCTTTTTTTTTCTTCTTCCTAATCGCTATATTGTATTCGAAAAATTATTTTCCTTGACAAATTAGGCCTTGCATACTTATAAACAAAAACGTACTACGTGCGTCATTTCCGATACTAGCAATTTTCTTTCCTTTTCTTTGCTTTTTCTTTTTTAAAACAAAAAAGGAAGATAAATTATACGACAAAAGAAAAACGAAGAAGAATGCTAAATCGACCGATTAATTTTTTCTTCTTTTTTTTTTTTTTTATTACTTTCCTTTTTTACAATGATTAAATATTATAAGATTAGGAAAATTAGAAATAAAAATGCATTTTAACAAACAAATACAAGCATACATGTGCATAGATTTCATCATTTTGGAATTAAAAAAAAAATAAATAAAAATAAAGACAAAATAATCGATTATATGATTTATAATTTAATCGGTCGTTGCATTATATTCTTTGAAGTTAATGAATTATTCTTCGATTAACTTAATTTTAAATACCACATCAACATCAACAACAAGAACAACAGTAGTAGTAGTAGCAGCAGCAGCAGCGGCAGCAACAACAACAACAACAACAAGATCGTTAGATGGAAATTAGACGCACGTTTACGTTAATCACATTCTAATCTTAATCTTCTCTTGGGGTCGTTATGTCAAAACGAAGAAGAAGACTTACGCGTATGTGCTGGCACCGTGATGAACTTATTTTAAGTGTTTTTTTCTTTTTTTTTTTCTTTTTTTATTTAATCCAATGTAAATCTTAACGAACAAAAGTAAAATACAATAATATTATTAATAATAATAATAATAATAATAATAATAATAATAATAATAATAATAATAATAATAATGATAATAATAATAATAATAATAATAATAATAATAATAATAATAATAATGAAAAAATAGTCAAAAAGAAGGTATGCGCACTTATAGTAAGACGAATCGAAAAGTAAAATTCGCGCCTCTTTAATCTCCAATTTATTATATTTTTCTTTTCTTTTTTTTTTTTTTTTTTTTAATTAATTCATTAATTATTTGTACGAAGTTATGATTATCGATAAAAAGGAAAACAAACAAATTTAAAGATATTAGAAAGAAAAAGAAATAAATAAAATTTCGTCGCAAAGACGAAATACGTGGGAAAAAAATGGTAAGAAAATTGAAAAGAGAATTGAAAATTTGACGAAAACTTTGAAGCTTCGATATAAAAAAATTATATTTCATTTTGTCTTCTCTTTCTATTCTCTTCTTATTTCTCGGGTAGAACACAAAAATCGTGGTATCAATGACCGTGAAAACAAATATTCTTAGGCCAGACAGACGTAATCACTATACACGTCTGGAAATAAAATAAATACATTCTTGCCCTTTCTTACCCCATTTTTATCGATGTACACATCTATTTTAATAATAGTAATAATAATAACTAAAAAAGACAAAATATATTGCTTAAAATATGAAAAATAAAAGAAAAAAAAGTAACGACGATACGAACAATTTATCAATTTCAATATAAAGAAAAAGAAAAGAAAAATCTATACATATATTAAACATTATATTCTATCATAATATTATGAGCTCCATTACTACTTTGCGAGTACTTTTTATAATTTATTTTTTTTTTGTTTCTTTGTTTCTTTGAAGGGGAATTTTTTTTGCCTTTTATTCATTTATTTTTATTATTTTTTTGTTTTGTTTGTTTGTTTGTTCATTAATATTATACTAAAATGAAGACAGTAGGTATATAGAATAGTATCCTCAACGATTCGTCAAACAAAGTAAGCGTTTACTATTTTCTTTTTTTTTCAGCACATTTATACCGACCGATCGATATTGTAAAATTGATAACTTTTAAATCATTTAGATAATTCTTTCCGTCCATACAGATGTGTGTTGTTTGTGTATTTATGTATACATGTATGTATGTGTTTGTGTGTATATGTAAGGTACGCACGTATGTGTTTAGATGTACAGATGCGCGCGTACAAACTATTATTTAAACTTACTTACTTACTTATTCCTATCCTTAAATTCTATAATAACGCGTAATTATAACATTTGTTTGTTTTCTTTTGTTTTTACGCGTAATCATAATACATTTTTACTATTTCTTTTTCTTTTTCTTTATTTGGCGGATTATAATAAATATTTTTCAGTAAGTAAGATCAAAATATGTTATTATCTCATCGTGCTATTGCAATCAGAGACAGAAACAAAACGAAAGTTTAGGTACAAAAATTACTTCGACTTTTGGAAAAATATCTATCGGATAAATGACACAATCCGCACAACTTTAAATGCCGTTCTGTTATGCTATGTATGTTATGTTATGTTATGTTATGTTATGTTTTTCTTTTCTTTTTCTTCTTACATAATTTGTTTTTTCTTTGTCTGTTTCTTCCTTTCATTCTTAAGTTTTTTTTTCTATAATTTATTTTTCTCGTTAAATATTATTTTTTACATCCTTCACAAGGATCTCACAAAATTAACAAATTATTATGCTCACGTGCAGGTACGTGTATATATATATATATGTACATGTATATACGAATATATATATACACATGAATGATCGTTAACTAATTTAAATGAGAATCCATTGCTTTGCTTTAAGTAACGTGGTGTACAGGTAAAAGTTACACATACATCATTTTTTTTTCTTTTCTCCTCTTTTGTTTTTACCATTTACTTATACAACACTCGATGCATCAACTTATTATCTTTTCTTAAATCCAATTAATTTACACAATTTCATGTGTGGACTTTATTATCTTATTTGTGATATAAGATATAGTGTTTGTAATTATAATTGTTTTATTTTTGTATGTCATGTCAAAGAATGCAGTCTTCTTTCACATCGAGCAAAATATTTGTGATTTAGTAAAGATATATATATATATATACATATATTCACTACTAAATCACAATATATATACACACTATAATATAATAGGAAAGAATCACGTGGATTGTTTATAACTAAGTGTAATTGTGTTAATGAATCTTATTCGGTTTTATCATATACCGATTGTATATATACTGATTACATCAGGTTTATAACTTTGGGCAATACGTTCTCTTATATGTTCCCACCAGTAGGATAAAAGGGAAATGCTCCAAACTGGAAATTCACCGGAGTCTTTGGTGAAGCACAAGTATAGAGAAAATCATCAGACTGCAATTGCGTCCTGTTTAAATTTGGTTCAGATGCAGATCTTGTGATTTTGGGTAAGCCACGCAGCAAACTTTCCAAGCTTACTAAGATCTGTCGGAATATTGGTCGATCATCCCTCGAAAATTTAATACAGTCTTCTGTTAATCTCTTCAATGCTTTTGGAGTATCAGACCGTAACTTGTTCAAATCTGGACGTAAATATCCACGTCCAACCATGAACAATATTTGATCCTTGTTATTGATATTTGAGTATGGTAGCTGACCAGCAAGCAATTCATACAAAACTACACCAAAGGCATAAACATCGGACTGGAAGCTATATGGATTTTCCTCTTGCATTCTAATAACTTCAGGTGCCATCCACAAAATAGATCCAGTTGGCTGATGGAATTGTTGAGACCCTGACCATCTTGTTTTAGCGGTAGCTAGACCAAAGTCGCCAATTTTAACAGTAAGATCATCGTGCAGAAATATATTGTTGCTCTTTAAGTCTCTATGGATAATATTCTTAGCATGTAAGTAATCCATGCCTTGCGCTGTTTGTCTACCAATTTCTATCAGTGTTAATAATTCAAACTTTGATTCGAATACATGTAGATGTTTATATAAAGATGACCCTTCGCACCATTGGGTTACTATAGCAAGCTGCGGTTTACTAACGCATCCCATAAATAATAGAATATTTACATGTCGTGTTTTTCTTAATACGGCTACTTCATTTTTAAATGCTTGTAATTGAGCCGTCGTTGGTATTTTAACATTTAAAGTTTTAACCGCCACAGGACCATGCCAGTGGGCTTTATAAACTGTTCCAAAGGATCCAGAACCAATGCGTGCTCCTACCAAGATTTCATCGGCTGGAATTTCCCAGTCTTCTATAGATTCTCTAGGAGCTAAAAGATTTTTCGAAGATTCATCAGCTGATCGTGCTCTTGGACGTTTCGGTCTTAAAGTACTGGTTGGACTAGCTTGCGTCGACTGACTATGCTTAGTAGGACTGCTACCGGGGGAGACTGAACACTGCATAGTACCTATAGGTCGACCTAAACTCTGGGACCTACTATAATCATCCAGATTAGTCGGTTCACCTCCAGATCTAACCATGTTGAAGCAAACATTTGGCGCAGAACTTGAACGGTCCTGTTGACCCAAGGACCGTGGATGTCTCTGATTTCTAGACGGTGCTAAGGAAGGTGACATACTTCGGCTTAAGTATGTCGATGGTAGTTGCAAAATCCCAGCCTCTCTTTCAGGATTGTGAGCTAACAACGCTTGGTAATAAGCATCTTGCATACGTGCTTGATGGCAGAGAGCTGGTACGCTTCCGGCACACCTTTGATGAAAACGATAATTGCATGTCCTACAGTAGAAACCCTGAAAGAGCAACTTTCTACAGCACTCACAAAATGCCAACGAAAAGAATGTCTTGCGCACAAAATTATGTGATATTGAAGTAGTTATTGGAAACTTATCAAGTATCTCTACTGATATCTCATCGCACTCGAGTAGAGAGATGTCGGTGTCCCAAGAAGTCCAATACTTGGATTTGAGTGGCCCCAGGATATACACAGCACACATTTCAGTAGTCAGATTCCTCAACTTCATAGCCTTGGCTAGAGCGTCCCTCAAAGATAGTCCTTCGCGTACTTGAACACTGGTACGCTGTTTGTTGGGCAGATAGGCCCTCAGTAAAGGTTTCATTGGGGTTTTAGGACACCTATTGACAGTATTGGCGTCTCGAGAATCATTCTCAGACATGGAAGCTCCAATAGATGTTCTGCCGGCATATAACAATTCGATCAGTTTCTGTTCCTTGGACTCCAAATCATGCAACTTGCCAGTGAGCTCTTGATACTCGTTTAAATATATGGATGGTGGATGTTGAAAACCGGCAAAACGGTTGTTTAAAGCATCAATGTTCTCCCTTGTCACGGATATGACACTTTGAATGTTACGAAGTTCATAGCTCAGAGGATCCATATCGACATAACCGTCCTCGGAGTCGCTGAGATCCCCAGAGTCAGGTTCACTGCCACGAGAGAACGACATCGCGACCAACAGGGTTGTCGAATGCCCCTTCCTCCTTTGTCGACGATAGCTGCTGTCGGACGACGACGGCAACGGCGACGACGACGACGACGACGTCCACGAGGAGGAGGAGGAGGAGGAAGGGGAGGTGGAGAAAGAAGAAGAGGTGGAGGAAGGGGATGAGGAAGAAGAGAAGGACGAATGGAAGAGTAATGAAAAGGAATAAGAAAGAAAAGAGAAAAGGGAAGACGAGGAAGATGAGGTGAGGGAAGAGGAAGAGGATGAGGCCAATGTCGAAGACGGTGATAACGATCATGATGATAAACCCTTTCCAACCTGGACCCTCCGGCACGAAAATTTCTTGTAGAGGCACACGCGAATTGTCGAATAATACCTGCTCTCGCCGACCACGGCCATCTTCTTGTTTCGTCCTCTCGACGGAGAATATCCTGAGCCGCCGCCGCCGCCGACGCCGCCGCAACTAAGCGCTTTGTCGAACCACCTTGGTAGCTCTCCTTGTTCTACCTAGCTACCCCTCCTTTTCCCACACTGCACAAAAAGAATAAAGAGAGAAAGAGAGAAAAGGGAATAAGAGGAATTCTTCGACACACACCGCCGCCGCCGTTGTCGTTAACACCACCACCACCACTAACAGCACCGTCACCACCACCGCCGCCACCACCGCCGCCGCCGCCGCTGCCGCCGTCGTCACCACCACCACCACCACCACCACCGTCACTGCCGTCGCCACCGCTTCTTGACGACGCACCACGCACGTCCTCCAAGTAGCAGCAGCAGCAGCAGCAGCAGCAGTAGCAGCAGTAACAACACCACCACTACTACCACCACCACCACCACCACCACCACCAGCACCACTAGTGACTCTTCGCTCTTCTTCGTTCCTTTTTTCTCTTCTTTTTCTTCTACTACTACCGTTAATACTACTCCTACTACCACTATCACTATTACTATTATTATTACTTTTACTTCTCCTACTACGACGACAACTACAACTACCACTACAACTGCTGCTACTACTACAACTACGACTACTGCTGCTGCTGCTGCTGCTGCTACTACCACTACTACTACTGCTAGTGCTGCTGCTGCTGTTACTAGTACTACTACTACTGCTGCTACTAATACTACTACTATCACTATTACTATCTTCCTCTCTTGGCCTTACGAACGGCCAATCGTAACAACACGATACGCGTTGAGCTCGCGGCATAACGCGACGTCTAAATGTTCAACACCTTCCTCGTCGTTGTCGTCTACAGTCCAATCAACAAAAACTATTATCTCCTGTTCCAGCATCGATGCAGTTTACTTTTCTAATTCCTTATCCTTATTCTTTATTCTCTTCTAACCTCTTTTTAGAACACGACTTTACAATATCGAAAATGTCTTCTATTATACTCTCTCTTAAAAGTTTATCGAATAAATCTTCCTATCCTCAACTCTACCGAAAGAAAACTGGCTGTTGGCATGAGCGAATCCAATCTCTGTGTTAGTATTTAATACGTGTATAATATATACACGCGCGCGTGTGTTACGTAGCGGCGCGGGGATACCGTTTCCAGAAGCGTCAGTGCTGCCACCGTCTGCGTCACTACCCCCACCCCTTTAAAATGTTCACATCGATGCGCGCGCGTACGAACGCAATCCAATCTCCTTCCATTTTCCTACATTCTTATCCTTTCTTTCCCTCAGAGATACCTAAATTTTGATCATAAACGAATAACGATCTGTCATCGTCCTTCTCTTTACTCTCAATCATTTTTTCTTATGATTTATAAACTTTTAAAACGAAAATTTATTGAATAATACTCGATTTACTAAAACGACAGAGATGCACCATTCAAATTTTTCCGCTATCAAATATGTCGCAAAGTGCGCGAACAATGGTGCTCGTTTAAATGCGATTAACACTAATCTTTTTATTTCTATCCTTATTATTTTTTTTTAATTAATTTTAATTAATTTTATTCATTGCTTTTCTTTCTTTATTTTTCTCTAACATTAAGACATGAATTATTTTAATAAATAAATTACATATATCTATATTGATTTCATTAGATCTTTGAATTGTTTCTATTATTGAACAATCATCGAATGAACGATAATCTCAACAATTATACTTGCAAACATTTCATTTGTCTTTTTGTATAAATGTAAAAGTAATATGTAAATGTGCATACTGTTTGAAATAGTACACTCAAAAATACGTACGTTCTTTCCTTAAAATATATTTCAATAACGTAGGATTGGATTTTCTTCGCAAAGAGAACCACATTTTCATTATAATTAATCATTTTCTCGAAAATGTGGTCTTGGAAAAGGGGGGATGGATTATTATTTTTCGCAGGACGATAGAATAGAAGGTGAATTTTTCTGTAAACAAGGGCACTTGCATTGCGCGTTTCTTGACGTCACTGCGGACGGACTTACGTCACAGCAGCATATGGTATCATCACCTAGGTAACTCAAGTCGATTCTAATTGGTCCGCTTATGCGCATCTATATGATACTTATGGATACACACAAAGATCTTCAAGATTATTATTCCCTTATCTTTATTGAATTGAAAAATAATGAATTTAGATGAATTATCGATAGTTTTAATCTGAATTTATGAAACACACCCATTACAGATGCTAAATAATTTCATTTATTTAACATATTCTTAATGTTCCATTCTTTTTTTTTTCCCAATGCCTAAGTCCAAGGTCATAATCTAATCCCATGTGTAGCATTTATAAATATTACTGCTGATAACGATAGTTGATTAAAAATGTCGAATCTCGTAGCTGGAAAGCTTGCTTTTGTTACTGGTTTGTTGAAAAAAAAAGTACAATATATATCTGTTAATTAGATTACTATGGTGTATAATTACAGTGATTTGTTTTATTTTTATTTTAGGAGCTGGAAGTGGTATTGGTAGAGAAACATGTCGTATACTAGCTCGAGAAGGAGCTAAAGTTATCGCTGTAGATCAAAATCTTAAAATAGCTGAGGACACAGTCAAAGTTTTAAATGGTATTTATATTTAAAAAATAAATCATTTGATAAATTTCTTCTTTGTTCTTTCTAATGTTATGCTATACGATTTTAGGAGCCGATCATATTGCATTAAAAGTAAATGTTACCGATCTGCATGATGTAGAACAAGCTTTTAAACATAGCGTTAAAAAATACTCAACTTCTCCAACGATTATTGTTAATTCAGCAGGAATAACGAGAGAGAATTTTATTCTTAAACTCACCGAGGCTGAATTCAACGATGTCATTAATGTTAATTTAAAAGGTACATTTCTCATAATGCAAAGCGCAGTAAAAACTATGATAGAGACTGGACAAACGGAAGGAAGTTCTATCATTAATATTGCTTCAATTGTTGGTAAAACTGGGAACATTGGTCAGGGTAATTACAGTGCCTCGAAAGCTGGAGTCGAAGCTCTAACTAAAACAGCCTCTATGGAATTTGGAAAGTAATTCTCAATTATTTTCCTTGAATTGTTTTTCTTTAATATTAAATAATATAATTAACTTAACCATTATTGTAGATTAGGAATACGCGTTAACGCGGTCTTACCAGGATTCATAGAAACTCCAATGATTGATACAATTCCCGAGAAGATAAAAACTATGTTTATTAATAGAATACCATTTAAGAGAATGGGTCAGCCGAAGGAAGTTGCAGAAGTTATTACATTTCTAGCTTCAAATAGAAGTTCCTATGTTAATGGTACTTCCATTGAAGTTACAGGAGGATTTCATTAAATCAGTGTCTTAAATTGCTTATACTTAATCTCGATATATTTTGTATTTTGAAAATAATTTTGATAATTTGCGTAAATGCAGAAAAATAAAGGGGTTTTTCAAATAACAATAATCTTATATAGATAGAAAACAATATATATGTATATCTATATATAATACATTATCAAGATTATCTCTTGTTTTATTTTTTTAGTCGTTTAGCATGTTTATGTGCTTTATATTGTCTTTTATTCTTTTCCGCAATTATTTCTTTATATTTGCGTTTATTGTATCTAGCAAATTCGGCATCTGCCATAAGTTCTTCCACAATGGTATTCTTTCGTTCTTTCTTCGTAAGACGATCAGAATAATAATCTATAGGAGAATCTATTACTTTACCAATTTGGAAATATTTAGGTAAAACTTTTAAGTCATTCTTTTTGTAAAAGTGTTTAGGGTCTAATACAGATCTCATTTGAATAACCTCGAGATCGTGTTTAACCTCATCGGTAAGTTCAGTAGCCGGCAAATTATACCACTCTTTGCCTTTAGTTTTATTTCGTTCTGCAATTTTCTTAGCATGTGCACGTCTTTTATTTTCCCGCAAAGATGGTATGCTTTCCAATTGTTCCAATCCAGGTTTTATAACGCTTTTCTTAAGTATTTGATCTATTGGTGCTATTTCATTAGTTAATTTTGTTATATTAAAACTATTTTCAGGCACGTGATTTATATCATTTTTCCAACCCATGTCTCTCTCAAACTCGTCTAAATCAATATCGTTGTAAGAAAATCTTTTTATCTTCTGATTCTTCTTGTTTTCATCCTGCTTTAAGAAGTCTCTAGCAATAATCCCCAAAAGTCTTATTTCTGTAAAATATATTTATAAATATGTTAAATTACAGAGTAACTTTTATAAAACACATACAGCAAAATTAAATCACTCATTAATACATTTTTTAATAGATATGAGATATTATTGTATTAAACATAAAGTTATTAAATATATTTATTTAATTTAAAACTTAACCTATAAAAAAATAAACATCACATAAAGTAAAATAATATTACCATTGTTGTCAAATTTCTCTGGATCCTCATCGTCACTTTCTATTAATTGATTTTTATCCCTTAAATCTAGCTGTCCTTTTGTATCGATTATTATATTCATTTTTAAAAACTAATTATCAAATATCAATTCTGTATATCTTTCTCTCTGGGTTACCTCGTACGTATTATGGTTTTTAGAAGCTTGTTGATTGGTTCCACAAAAGATGGATTTGATTGGTCGATTACTGCAAGACCTCCACCTATCGAAAAAGTATCGTAACAACATCGATAGTTACATCGATAGTGTTAACTCGCGGCGCGAATATCAAAATCACGTAATAATATAATAGAATTTGTCATTAAAGGCAGGGTTGCTTTATGATTTTTCTCACCAAAGGCGATATATTTTCTTACTTATGTACTGTACCTACTATGTAAAGGAGGGTTGAAAATTGTTGTTAAGATTTTTCCAAGGTTGCGTTAAAATTTTTTCATGCTTATAAGAAATAATTGTAAAGTAATAGTTATAGCTATTGCAAATTTTTGTTAAAATTTTTTAAGAATAACATCAGGATCAAAGTTGACTTAAATCACATAATAATAGATTAGGTGTCGAACTTTATCCCTGAAAAATTCTGAAATAAATGTCTGCAATATTTGAGAATGGATTGTTGAAGAACTTTTCTGTTCTAGAAACTTTACGTTTTTTCTATTTTTTTTGAAACATAAAGCACTTTCACTTGGAATTTTGCTTCTTCTTAAATGCAATTGATTTAAAACATAATTTTAAGAAACTTTTTGATATGTTTATAAATGATTATATTAAAATAATATTTTTGATTTCAATTAATAGATAGATATATATATATATACCTATATTTGTTTTACTTGGAAAAACATTAAATTTTGAATAAGTATAAATGTAGACCGCGATTAGACAATATCTGCACCTTGAAGAAAAATTGTTAATCATAGACTGTTTGATTTACTAATATATTCATATACATATAACGATTAAATCTTGAATACTTTGTACATACACGTGAAATAGCGTGCAATGTAGAAATAATAAGCGTTACGTTTTACAGACGTAACAGTCTAATGTCTACTTATATTATGAATCAAACGTAATTGTGTTACGTAAATGATACCACAAACGAAATGTGCTTTCTTCTTCGATAAAAGGAGTGTTCTCCGTCGATATTTGATTATAATTCCAAATATTTTCTACGAATAATTCAACTATAAAAGAAAACTTACAATTATAGATTTTCTAATCGATTTCTAAAAACAAAGGGTTGGTGTGCTGGTGAAAACATTAAGATAATTTTCTAAAATACTAAGATAAATTTTAGAAATGAATTTAATTATTTAAATGTTCATTATTTGAACATGTAAATACATCGTTGAAAACACGAAGATTAGGGGAATTAGATAGCTCTACAATGTGAGGTAAATATTTTCCCAAGATATTCACGTGGAATAACAAAGAAGTCATTAAATGGAAGATAAGTTAGAATTAAAAAGTTAATATGCACTTTCTTTAAAATTCTAGAAAAGCAAATAGACAAAAATAATTGTTTCGAGGTGGCTCGTTAACTGACATAATAGTATTTTGATCACACACGATGAAATTTAACTACTTCCGTTAAAGTCACTTACCATGCACGTTAATTGTTAACTATCGCAAATATATGAATGAAATATATGAAATTATGGGTAAAGAATAATTAGTTTTATTAAAAGTTATCAACTTTTAACAAAGTGTTAAGTTGATAGTTGATTTCATTTGATTACGTGATATTATCTAATTTATAATTGTGTTTTTTGAAAAAAACAATAGGTGGCTAATGAATAATAAACGAGCAATTGGTTAAGTAAATGAGAACCTCGAACGTACCGAAAGATTTCCTGTAGAAAGCGAGAAAGTGGTTTATCCAGAAGTTTGCAATAAGATCAACTTAACTTGGACGAGTTGCAGCGATGCATTCTAACGCATGAGCTAACTTTTAACTCTGACGTAATTCTATATATGTATTGTTGTATATATGGATCGTCTTACAAAACTAATATTTATATATATATATTGGGATTATATTAACAATTTTAACCAATTGAGCTATCCAGGGCCAATTCCCTTCGACGAATGCTTAATAAGCTTGGCATGGAGGTGTCCGTCTCACATACATATATATGTATGTATGTATGTATAACAAGCCGATCACAAAATTTAATTACAATATGAACAAATATTTAACATTTTTTATTTTGATTTCAGTCCAAGGTAAACTGCTTTGAGACCATCAGATTTTTATCGACTTTTATTATGTTTCTTCTTTTGCATAATTCTATTGAACGTGAGGTTTCTTTTACATCTCCAACAACTCCAATGGTCTGGGCTATAAAACAAGAATGAAAAGAATTAATTAATGGCTTTTGCGTGTCTATACAATAAATATCTTACGACTTTTTAATATAAATGATAATTTTTTTTAGTATTTCCTTTTTTCTTCTTCTTCTTTTTTTTTAATTTATTCAATAATTCGAGAAGAATTTGAATTTGATTAGATTGCATATAAATCATCTTAAATATCTTTTCTATAAATAAGAAAAATAATATGTTTCGGGTTGACTGAATACCACGTAGGTACGACGTTGGTAGGACGTAGGTACGACGTTGGTAGGACGTAGCTACGACGTAGATAGAAATAAATACTACTTATTTATCATTGAGCGATAGAGAAAGAGATGATCGTTTAATACTATGAAATTTCTTAGTGAAACTTGTAGTTTTCGTCGTTTAGCTATCAAGCAACTTTATACGAAACTCTTCCCACTATTTCGAAAGTGTTACTCAGCAAAATAAAATAAAATAAAAATAAAAAACTTCAATCTCTTTTCCTTTTTTCGAAGCAAAAAAACAAATTATTATATAAACTATTTTATGTATCAACAAAATCATCTCTCCGTTTAAATCTAATCATGAGAGAGTAGAAAGATCGTAATCGTGACGTGTATACCTTGTTCTCCAGAATATATGTATATTAACTTTCAAAATTTTCGTCGTCATTCTTCCGCTTGGAGAAGTAATTTTTTGCTGTCGCCAAAAAATATTAAAAAACCGGAACATCATCGTTGTGAAAGGAAACAAATCAAAAGATGGTTAAGTAACGATTCCATAGATGATCTTGGTTGTTATACATGATCGTGACTTGCTAGACTATGACAGAAATAAAAACATCATTCGGATTAAAGAAAATGTGTAAGTAGGAAATAAGTTAATGTAACTGTAGCTATAATCGTAATAATTCGATTTAACCAATTATTGCGACATGTCAAACACATGTTGAAACTTTGGAGTCGACTTGACATTGTGTCAGGTTGACTGACAAATCATTTTTGCGTGAAAATTTGTAAATGTGAAACATACTAGTAATACAATTTTCTAATGTTAATTATATAGAGATATAAGATTTCAAATATGTATATTATTTATTTAGATAAAAAAAAAATATTAAAGACTATTGTTTATTTAAATATGATTGATAAAAATTCCAATAATCAGTGGTATAAAAAGAAAAGCAAACGAATTACATGAGTCATATGATTGAAAAATGTTGAGTGAATTTTAGAAAGCCTAGTCGTATTGACAATCAACAATTTCTTGGTGTCTCTTGGTAGTTTATTATGGGGAGGCTCCTCCCTACCACCTTATTATACTACCGTGGCGCTTTGACTCGAACGAAAAGCATTTCTCTACAAGCGAGCAGTTGGACGTTACAGTTGATCCATGGTCATCGAACAAAAAGGAACCAGTCTTGCTCCCAGATTTGGTCTGGCATACATATCACAAAGAACAGTTACGGACGGGGTCTCGCAACATCTTCGATAGTTATTATGATTCCAAAAAAGAACATCAACCAGGAAGTTATATTTCCAAAAAGTCATAAAATGTTACCGCTGAAGTTCACTTGACTAGAAATTGAATCAATCATTTTGGAGGGAAAATCTTTCGTTGTTTTGTTATCCTTGTGGAATACAGTTTGAAGAATCCTCCCGTTCGTTTTTTTTCTTTTTTTTTTTCTTGTTGCTGTTGTTGTTGTCCTTAACATAAACTACAATTAATATTAAATTGCAGTTTACATAAACAATTATGTCGATTAGCATAATTTAGTGATTTCTTAAATAAATAATCTCTCTATCGTCTCTTTCTAATAATTTGATAAATATTTATCGTTGTATATAAAGTGTGAGAGAGAAAAATGAAGAATCGTTTAAGACTTTCGATCGTGCTTTGTGCGTTTCTCGCAATATCTGCTGATAAAACGGTAGATTATACAGACTCTCTGATTCTGAAGCATCGGACCAGAAGTTTACCAGAGATCGTTGAAAGTCCTCAGAAAAATTGGACGACTTTGACCGAATCTTTAGACATTTATAGTGCTCGTAACCTCGCGAGAAACTGGGTGGAAGGAAAATATCCGATTGGTGAACAATGTAGCAAGGATATTAGTAGGTACATCGAGGGTTTGAAGAAGCAAGAATTGTGGGCACTTAAGGGTAAGTTTTACATCATTTTAACCCTTAACTTCAAATATATCGTTGGGTCGTTATTGGTCATTATTACGAATCAAAGATTATACTCCTCAGTCATTAACAAGTGTCACTGTAATATTTAAAATAAAAATTAACATTTTTCATTTTGTAGTATTTTAAATCTGACACTTAAAATTTTGTAAGTCGAAGTATGATAGTTTATTCAAATTCGGAGCGTTAAGGGTTAAAATATAAAAACATAATTTTACTCATTTTTCTATTTTATCTTCTTGTTTTATTTTCTCAATTATAAGCAAAAATCACTTGTATATATATATATATATATATATATGTATCTAAAAAAGAAATGAATTTTGGTTATTTCTAATAATTTCTTAATTTTACTTTTACCATTTTCTCTGTTTTCTTTCTCCTACAGAATTTCTATAATGAATGCATAAGAGCTGCACACTTGTATGTAAATTTGATGCTTTTCTGCTTTTAACGAACCCGCAGATTTCTTTCTCATAGGTATGCGTGTTGTGTTATGAAACTGTCTGGCACTCGCTCTTACACCTACCTGAAAGAGTACAAATTTAGTATACCAATAGAAAGTTTACGAGATATTCATATTAACGAAAGGGTAATTATTAATACGTAGACAATCATGTGTGCGCGAATAATGTTTAGATACTGAAAGCTTTCTCTTGTAATTCGTTTTATTGTAATTATAACTTGTAATATTTTATAGATTCATTGCACAAATATGCTACACGAGAAGTGGCCCAAAATTTGTTGCTCCAGAGAACTGGTTTCTTTCTTGTCTAGTCTTTCATTTAATAATAATAATAATCACAACGATATTTAAAATATGTTTTTGTTTTTTTATCGCGACTCTTCTAAATATAATAAGGAATCTTGTTTGACCAGTTGTAGATGTTTATTACTTATTTTTAAATTTAGAAAAGCATCTTTATTCGTTTTAACCATTAATCTTTACATCTCGTGTTTCTAAATTATTATTTAACATAATTTGATAAAAATCAATTGTAATATATAATAAGAAATAAAGGTAAAAATTCACGCATGAATACACCAAAGCTCTATCGGCCATTTGATCGATTGCAAGGTGTATCCTGTATCCTTCAGACGCACTTTCTACATGTAGGTGTTTCTTACTTAATATGATGTTTGTACACCTATAAATGATGATTATTTTCTACTTGAAAAAACTACTCCAAATTAATTTTAATCATTTATCTTTCTAATGAATAATTAACATTAATTTTTATCGTACTAATTGTAATATAAAACCAATGTAAAATTATTTAAAACGGTGTGGATATAGACGAGCAAGATGGAACGTGTAAAAAAATGTTCGGAACGCATATCTTAGATCTTTTTAATGTTCCTTTCATTAAATAAATGAAACTAGAATAGAGATTCTCTTATATAGAGAAAATAAGGACATTTGTTCATCCAAAATTTCATTCCAGGTATATATGATGTAACACTTTACGTTGGGCTACCTAAATTATTTCAAGTTAAAAAGTAAAATACTTTTTCTCTGTAACGGTCAGTCAGTCCCTCCTGGTTTGCCTACTTTCATCCGTGAGGTTTCACTTTTAATGACACAAAGAAACGCTCGTATAACCACGAACGAACGGCTTTATGAGAAATTGGCCTGACCAGTCGATGCGACGAGACTCACTTTCGACGTTTTACCTTCCTCGGTCAATGCTATTCTTTTTCTTATTTTCTTTTTTCTTTTACTTATCGTAATAACATTATTAATAATTAATTAACGAAGAAAGAGATTGATTCCGGTGCATGCATGCTAATCAAAAAGAAAAACCTTTTTTTTTTTTATATGTACTTGACGATTGACAGTTTTACTTTCATTTGCAATAAGATTATATTATATTCAAAAAATATGAAATATTAAGTATATTTTTGTGCTTGTGTATCGTAAATCTCATGTTTTACGATAAAGTAACATAAGTAAAATATAATTATTTCGATAAGTGAAAATATTTAAATTTTAGTTAAAATATTTCAAGCTTTTTTTTTTATATTAAACAAAGAAGAATAAAATATTCTTGTTCTCTTTTTATGTGTGAAAATAATAGCGACGAATATATTTTCACTTTTAACTTCAATTATATTTTACTTTGTGTGTGTGGAGGAATATTTTTATGAACCGCTCAAACATCCGGTTTCTTTAACAGGAGGTAACACATAGACGTGTTCCTCTTAACTTTCCCTCTTTATAAGCATGTATTTGGGAGTATCGTCGAAGGAAACTCCAATTCGTTAGCTCGAAGAAAGGTGAAAGGTACTTGGTATCCAATACCGCATCGTTTTAGCATCAGGAAATCGTCTTTAGAGATTACTGTTATGACATTTAGATTTTAGCTCTATGTACGCACACACGCGTGTTTTTTTCTTTCTACTTTCAAATCTAATATAGGCTAACATAATATGACAATTTCACTTTTTGTTTTTCCTTCCACTGATTTCTAGATCATTATTCTATTATATCTGAAATAAAAAAAAAAAAAAAAAAGAAGAAATTTATATTTATGAATTAAATATTATATTTTATGATTTACATATTATGAAATACGTATCAGATTCTCGTGGTCTTCATATATACATATCTCTCATGATGTTTTATAAACATTATTACAAAATTATGATTATTATCATTGTGACACAAATCACAATTCATTTTGTAACTGTGTTTTATTAAAGATATAATTTGATACGGATGATCTTAATTATTATATTACGGTGATTCAATTTGCATTGGTAATTTTCACATTACATCACTGTATACCATAAATAAGTGTTTGATTTAGTACTCATTCGAAAGCAGAGAATGTTGTATATTCTGTAAAATTTAAATGGATTTGAGAGAATAGAGATTTGATATCTGATATTAGAGAATATTTTTGTTGGTTATAGTAGAGAGGATGGTCTGTTAGGTTGAATAATAAAAGGAATAGATTTATCGTAATTAAAAGTAAAAGATAAAGTTGTTACTGCAAATAAAATATATAAATCAGTATAAATAATAGTTTGGCCAAATTTTCAATTTTGATACGAAATACACGTTGACATTTGATATTTTATTATAAGTAGAGATTATTTATTAAAAATATTAATATTAACAAATACTAATCAAATAAGTGGTAGCTATAGATAAAACCATAAATAATAATATTATTCACTTACTGTAATTAGGTAGTTGCAGATTTCACGAAATGAATAAAACCCAATTAGATGTAATTATTGGCTAGCGTGAAAGTAGATCCATCTTATTTTTATCGTTATGACTCTCTTCAAATATTTACTGACACTAAAATAAGCCATTCTCCATTATTTGGTATAAACTTTTGAAAGAAGAAACTTTCATTTCATTTTTTTATATTATCCTCTTTTCTTTTTTTCTTCTCTTTTTCTCTATGAAAAATAAAAAAGAAATTGGAAAGTACGTTTCATGTTGCTCGTTTTGAAATATTCTATCTCTCATTATCATTCTTAGTATCATTCTTATTATATATAACATATAATTCATACATAGAAGTGAAATATTATTGATGTAACTTCTAGCGCGTGTTGCTTCATTCAGTGTCGACCGTTAAAGGATACGATGATTGACCGATATTTTCACTAACATCCAATTCTAGAACTACTTTCCATTCTTCGTACATAGAGACAGGAACGTTCAATGAGAATTATACTTTTATATTTTACCTTGAAAATGTTGTTGACCCTGAAAAAAATGAAAAAAATAAACAACAAACGATTCTGTATATCTTTGAATATATTTTGACAAAATTTGTACTCTTATCGAATAATATATTTCTTCGTGTCTTGTGTTCTTTTTTTAGTTCTTTTCGAATGTGAAACCAATTTGGTAGAATATTTAAATGAATATTTATTTTCAATTGAATTAAATAGATATGACGACGGTTTAACAAAGTAGACATTGCTTTGGCAATACTTTTTAAAGAAGAAAGCTTTTCACATTCGAAATTACTTTCGCTATTGATTATACAATCAAAATCATAGCTTGACTAATCAATCGATCGTATTTCTCGATCATAAATTAATTCGTTTTAATTTCACTTTACGTGATCGCAATATACAAGTTTATTTATTTTAGATTTTATTAATAAAATTTCTCTTGCCCCCTCTTCGCTTATTTATAAAAAATATGCAATTTACATATTATTATTATTATATACATTCATCGTGGTAATTGAAAGATCTCTCGAATATTTGATTTATTTGCCTTGCGTTGAACCAGGAAAGAAGAAATCGAACAATTACGTGTCTAAATTGAACTTGACTTTGAAGAAGAAGAAGAAATAAAAAAGCGAGACACGTCCATTTTCTTTACGAATTTCTATTGTGTGATTTTCTTTTTCTATTAACTCTTGACAAATTCCTTTCACGCATTTGTATAGGAAAATACTAGTACGAATACTACTACTTTCTTTTTACTACCTGTAAATGAACACTGTAATATGAAACATATTTCACAAATTACGTTATAATACGTTTAATAGTAATGATTTGAAAGAAAGTTAAAAGGAAATTTTCGTTAATATGATATAACAAAGATGAATTTTAGTTTCTCCCGTAATTTTAACAACGATGATGTTGCTTTTTAAAACCGCAAAATTCGCATTCAACAACCATAATACGATCTTGAAGTTCTGCGAGAGAGTTGAAACGTGTTGTGAACAAACCCCAGAAAAGTTTGAGGTATGCGGTTAGATAACGTCGTATTCACTTCCCGAATAGAAAGTTTTACTTGATTAGAAACGTGCGTAGAGTTAGGCTCTTCAAATCATTCTTCCAATAATTCTTAATAATTCTATCGTGCTTATATGTCATTCTGAAAAATAATCTAACAGGAATATTTAATAATAATCTGCTTTGATCAGTTAAAAAGTAATCCGATCTACATTGCAAATTACAGTATATGTATTTTTATCTTTTGAAACCTTTTCTTTTTTTTTTTTTTTATAGTTGACGATGCTTCGGGAAGATACACCAATGGTTTCTTCTGGGGTAATTCATATTTCACTGGATCAGCAACAGAATGTGGATACATCGGTCAAAATTACGTTAGAAGTAATGAGAAATCTACATCCATGTCTATTATAAATGAAGTACAGGAATTTAATGCAGAACCCCATAAAAGAGGAAACCTCGGTTTGAGTGGCTCTAATCTTTTAACTCAAACTTTTATAGATCAACCACCTTATTCTTTAGGTTTTTATATGATGAGAATTTCTTTAAATACGACCTTGTTACCCATGGTAATTAATATAATCAACGTTATATATGATTATATTAAATATCTATTATTATTATTGCTAACATTTTGATTTGTTTTTGAATAATTTTAGACAAGATTGATGCATATTGGAGTTTGTTTGCCATTTTCTTGCACATCGGCTGACGTATCAATAATAGCAAAACTTGCTGCTAGTGATATTACTGCTAAAAATTTAGTCATTGAGAAAATTCGAGATCAACATAATTTGTACGACATGTACTCCGATCCTGTTTATTGGATTCTTTTGTAAGTTTCAGTTTTATGTTACAATAAAATATTTTTATAATTAATTATTATAAAAATATTATAGTCTCTCATTATTATCTTATATTATTTCAGTGGTGTCACATCTGTGGTGATAATTCTTATGATAGCTGGTTCTGGATATGATTGGTATTTGACTCGAATGGTCGCTCGTAAAAAAAATATGATTTACGATTTGGAAAAGCATGGAAAGCTTGATCAACTTAGTAATGGAAATCCAAAAACGTTAAACGGTAAGAGTAGATTTTTGTCTAGAGCGTTTAACTTGTCTTCTCTGTCTACTAATTTTTGAATCTGACAAGACTGAACGTATACGGTGACTATCATTAACAACTACAGACAAGAGACAGTGAAAGTGACACAATGTCATTATTATATTTCGTAGATTTTCAAGGTATGGTCTATCTTCCTGTTCCAGTGGCAGATACAGTTCCCAATGGATCTACGCCGGTCAATAACAATAACAATAACGATCACGAGAATACCTTGCAGCCATCTGATGAAGTATATAAACTTAGTAAGTTCAAGCAATATAATATACTTTAAAGAATAAACTCATATTAAAATAATACTTACGCGCGCGCGCGATTACAGGTGTTCTTGAAGAATTGCTCTTGTCTTTTTCTGTTCCTTCCAATTTAAAAGTTATCTGTGATGGTAATGTTGGAGGAGATACAATCAGTACCATTCATGGTCTAAGAGCAATATCAATGGCTTGGGTGATACTTGGACACACTTGTATAGTAGTTTTCAAATATTCTGATAACATGGAATATCGAAAAGTTGTCGAAAAAAAGTTTCTTTTTCAAACAATTACTAATGGAGCTTTCAGCGTGGATACCTTTTTCTTTATGGGCGGTTTACTTGTCAGTTTTCTATACTTTAGAACCAATGCTAAAGGAGATTTGAATAAGCTTACTCAGGGTACAAAAGGTTTTGTTTCTGGGTCATTGAAATTCATTGGGTTGCTTGTCTATAGATTCTGTAGGCTTACAGCACCGTATATGTTTATTCTGGGTGTTGTTGAGATTTCTATGAAATGGTTCTATTACAATTCTGTTTTTGAACCTCCTTCGTCTGATCATTACAATTGTCCTAAATACTGGTGGAGAAATTTACTTTATATTAATACTTTCTTTCCTGTAGACCAAATGGTAAGTATTATAGCTCAATTATTTTAATTTAATTTTACACATTGTTATATTAAACTTTTATATATACGTATATATGTATATTTTTAGTGTATGCCTTGGAGTTGGTACGTTGCGGACGATACACAGTTCTATATTGTTGGTGGAGTAATATTAGTATTAGCTGTAAATCACTTTAAGATTGCAGCAACTGCTGTTATCACTTTATTAGTAAGCTCCTGGTTAACAACAGGATACATTGCACTTGCTAACAATCATATGCCAAGTTCAGATGACCCACTGGCTTTGTTTGATAAAATTTATGATAAACCATGGACTAGATTAGGACCATATCTAATTGGGATGTCAGTAGGATACTTTCTCTTCAAGACTGATTGTAAAGTGAAAATGTCGAAGGTGAGATTAAATACATTAATAATAACTTGACGTCGTCATTTGAAACATTTCATTTGATCATTTTTCACAGGCCACAGTTGTTATAGGGTGGTTACTTTCTTTCGGCTGTCTTTTAAGTTTACTTTATGGTTTATATGAGGCTGAACTTAGTCCTGTAACTTCCGCTGCATATTCTTCATTGAGCCACAGTGCTTGGGCACTTGGTTTAGCATGGATTATTGTTGCATGTAGTACAGGTTACGGAGGTAAATATCATGATAAAAATAGAAAAATTTAAAAATAATAATGTACAAAAATGTTTGTTTTTAGGATATATAAACAAAATTTTGTCAGCACCTATTCTATATCCATTCAGTAGAGTGACCTATTGTGCTTATCTTATTCATCCAATAATTATTAGACTGACTGCTATGAACTTAGATTCACCTTTTCATTTGGGAAAAGATACAATGGTAAATACTTTTAATGTATAAGTTATAATCTCAATTATCTATAACATATCAATTTCTATTTTTCAGATGATAACTTTCTTAGGACAATTGATCTTATCTTATTTCCTATCATTCATTGTATCAGTGAGTTTTGAAGCTCCCGTAGTAAGCATGTTAAAAATTCTAGCACCAAGAAAAAGAAAGCGCATACAATAAGAATACTAATAAACTTATTTAATCATTGAGCAGTCCTCTTTTATATATATATTTATATAATATTATTTTCACTCTTTTTCTAATAAGATCTCTAAACTTTGTAAAAAACAATCTATTAATAAACATATGAGGACAAAAACAATGTACACATTTCAAATAAATATGTTTTCTTAAATTTTGTATGTGTATTGTCAATTATAAAATAAATTATATTTCAATTTATTATTTATAAATTGTATATTATATGCAAATAACAACTTAATGTATTTTATATAACTTTATGAAATATATATTAGAAAAAAATGATATTTAACGATATAACCTACATTTATATTAATAACGTTATCATTTTACATAGCACTTTCATATTCAACTTCTGTATAGGTTTGAACGTAGAATGGGCCTTCGTTAACAAATTGTTTTAATTTTTGTATGGTACCAGCCTCGAATACATGCGATTCCGCTTCAGACAAATATTGAACAACTTTATATTTCAATTCCTTACACTCTTTGAAAGTTTCAATGTTTCTATCCAAGAGAAATTCTATCAAACCTGGAGAATCAGATATATATTGTTGACCCCATGCTTGAGATGCTACAGTTGCTAGAACTTCTAAACTGGCAGATCTGATGTCAATGAATGGTTGTTTAGACATTTTGACAATCAATCCTAATGGATCATCGCAAAGAGCATCAAACCATGATTTTGTTAAAGATAAAATTCTGTTATCTTGTTCAGCCTTTGGTACATTAATTAATAAGTTAAGATTATTCAAAGCAGAGATTTTGTAATGTGTATCCGTTTCTTGAATAATTTCACCTATTTTCTTCATTGCAAATAACATCCCCAATGTCTGCAACGCATATTTTCCTTCCATGTTTGTTGCAATGTGTCCTAACGTATCCAATGCAACACCTAATAAGAGACAATCTTTTTCGTATAATATTCTAAATAATTCTGAGACTACATCTGGATATTTTAAGAACATTTCATTCGGCCACAATTGTGCAATGTTTCCAAAAAATTTGATGACATTAGGAGTGGTAATATTTGACATAAGATTTTCATCGGTACATATTATTTTACCAAAAAGTTTTGTCAAAACCTCTTGTTGTTCCAAATAATTCAAACCTTCTTCGGTCAAAGCCAATGGAGTCAGTAATTTTATGGCAGCCGATTGCAATAATATATCATCATCTTGTAACATATTGATGAGGCTGCTCAAAAATCCAGATTGTATAGTTGCCTCTAAATGTTCCTTGGAAATTGTAGCTATGCTTATTATAACGTCACCAACATGAAAACTGACATGGTCATTTCTAACGGCAAGTTTGGCCAACGCTCTCAAAGGTTCCCCATGATATAAAATTTTCACTCCATTCAGATTTTTTCCAATTTTTGTGATGAAATTCTTTGCTATTGTACGAATACTCCCATCCTCATCACTAATTCTATTAATAACTGCAACTATTAAATTAACATCTCGAAATATTACAGGAAGCATTTGTTCATCTTCACACGAAGACAATAATTGCTTCAAAATAAACATTCTGATCACCGACTCTGAGTGATTTATTAATGGCAGTATTTCATCTGGGTTTTTTTTATAAATTTCATATTTACCATCGTATATCATCGTCAAAATTACATATACACGGTCTCTGATATCTCTGAAATAAAAACATCAAAATATATCTATTAGATTATCTTTAATTTTAAATAAAACACTTTTGAGAGATTAATAAATGAAATATAGGAAATAATACAAAATGAAAAATGAAAAAAGCTTTTTCATCATACTCGTCTTGCAATAAGAGAGACATTAATGGATCAGAATTCAAGTTTTCAGCAATTGTGCGCTGTTCTAAAACATCACAATTTCTCCACTTTATTTGCATTTCCATTAAAGTTTCTTCCTTTTCTTTAATAGTATCAAGTTCGATAAGCTTATTAACTTTTTCTTGAAACCACTCCATTGTTGTCATCGTGACTATGTTATACTGTAATGTAAATACGCATTTCAAGCGTTACTTTTAACTTTTCACATCTTTGAAGATGGCGCAGCTAATGCTGTCGATTAGCATGCTCCCTACTTTAACAATTAAATCGATTCAATAAATATTATAGTATATAATTATTATACTCTAAACTTGATATTATTATTATTATTTACATTATTATATTATATTATATTATATTGAATATATAAAATTATTATTGTCTTTTTTTCCTATATTACTTCTCGGATTCGAGTAGGATTCGAATAGTCAGCCATCTGTACTGTTACTCATAATACCTATTATTGCTTGACTTTAATGATCAGACGATGAGAATAAATATTTCAACGTGGCCAGTCTGTGTTAACTATACTATTATTATTATTATAGACAAAATGTCATTTTAAAGTTCTCAGTTGCGTCATTTTTCAAATTTCGAATGCCTTTTAATCGATATCTTCGATCGATGATTATTTGAACTTTGACTGCCATCTACCGGAGAAAACGCTAACTTTCTGCATACCCCTAACAATAGGCAATTTCCATGCATGCACATATTATTAATTGGTTGTATACTTTCCGACGTAATTTCATCTACCAATTTAATTAATTAAATAATTTTTTGTTTTACAAATATAGTATACGAATAATATAACTTATTACTTCGTTAATTTTTAAAAGCAATTACTTCAGCATTTTTAATAATTTCATAATAAGACCATCGTAATAAATCATAATAAATCGTAATAATATTCGTTAATAAATAATCTACCCTATACTGATCATTTGATAAAATATATATTCCTTTATACGATCTTCGTCTGAAAATACTCGCTATAATATTGACATAAAACAATTTGAATAACTGTATCTCCAAAGTATGACGGGATTAATTATTATTAATAATATTGAAACAGTAGATGTGAGTGAAAGAGTGGGATGGATAGAAAACGAGAGAGAGAGAGAGAGAGAGAGAGAGATAGAGAGAGAGAGAAAGGCGAAATTTCATGAGAGCGCATTAATAATATCGCGAGATACGCGCACGATTAAACATGTGCACGTACATCCACGTAGAGATACATATAAAGTAATTGTAATTTGCATTCACGTGTGCCCACTTAAATGCATTTCCATTAAAAACGTTAGAACGACAATACAATGTATAATCCACTTATCGTAACGATAATGACTGGACTAAAACGCTTTTGCATTAGAACAAATTTAACTGTAAACAAAAGATACAGAATAGTTCTGTCGCGTTATGCTGTTTGTATGTTTTGTTTGTTTATATTTGTATCTCTTTCTCTTCTTATATATAAAACTCCAAAATTATGTAAAAATCTACCAATTGTTAAAAAAAATACAAAAATATCTAACAATCAGGTGAAAATAAAGAAAGATAATACAATTTTTCGTTATTCCTCGTTCCTGTTCTCTATTTTAGAAAATTGTATTTTTATCAAGATATTTTTGAGCGTTAATACTCAAAGGACGCTGGGATGAATTTTGTATCGTCATCATCTTTTTTTTCTGTTTTTCGTCGAACGATATGATACACTCTGATAAAACAAGCAACCCACACCCTTTCCTATTATCCTTTTCCAGTGCATAACACTTCAGTCGAACACGCAAGCACTCTGGTCGACTTTCCGGAGTCAAGTGCGGATATAACCACTTGAGCTACCGTTTACATTCTGTTCGATTTTTCATTTACCATTTCATACAGGTAAATGGGTATAAGCTTTGACCGGCTTTAAACATGCATTATCTTCGACCACTTTGTATTTTCCTATCTTCAATCGGTCGAAAGACAATGATGGCTTTGAGTTTGTATAAGCTACCAGGAAAGTCTATTCCTTTCTTTTTTAAGCAATTATTTATTTCCAATAGATAAACATTTAATGTTAATAAACATTTTTGATAGAATCTAGAAAAATTCAATTACTACATTTTATTTATTATAGAATAACTCTTAGAACTTTTATAATTCGAAAGAAAAAAAGGAAAGAAAATAACAGAATACTCATGGGACACGTTATCTACAAGGATTCAAGATCCATTCGGAGTACGTCAACCTTTTCCTTTGTCGCGAAAAGGTCTATAGAATATAACAGCTCCTACGAGAGGAATTCGGTGAGATGACTGTCTCCTTATAAATATTGCCGTTTCAATGTCTCTGCGGAGAGTTATAAAAGATTCACATTTTTCTTAGCAACAATTATCGTTATGTACGTATATATGTCCTATACATATGTACGTGTACACATTTCTATGCTTTACAAATTTCATATATTTAACGAGTTATATGAAATATTCTAAATATGTACATATACAAATCTATTTAACCTCATGTATAAGTTCTCAATGAAATAAATTAATTATCAGAAAGAGAAGAGAGACATTTATAAAGTGAAGATTGGAATGAATGAATTCGTAAAGATCGTAGAATTGTGTTTGTGTGTATTGTGTACACAAATAAATATATATTATATTATATAAATGCGTCTAAATGTGTGGGAGTGTTTATGCGTGAAAGAGTACACGCGATGCAGTAAGCAAGTTATAGGCTTTTCGAGCTCCAACGATCGTCGTTCAAATGTTCGTCGGTTGACTGGTCAAGGTCGAATAATCGTCGGACGATTTAACTCGTTTGTTAAAATGTCATTGATAACATTGAAATAAGTGAATACTTATAAAATAATTCTTTTGACATATCCTCTCGATAATTACTTGTTATTAATAATTATTTATAAAATATAATTTTATCGTAAAAAATTGCACACACACACACACATATTAAATTTATATTATCATAATTATACTACAATAAGCATAAATTAATAATAATAATAATAATAATAATAAGGTCCAATCAAATTTTACAAATGCAGACGTGCGTACGAATATGTGAATTTAATATTACATAATTTTCTTAAGAGATGAATTATTATTATTAGTTTTATTTTTGGCAGAATGAATAATTACATCGCGAGAGAAAATAATTAACAAAATATCGTTAAGACAAAGAAATTCTATTTTAATGATGTAACGAGATGAAAATGTCATTCGACTTTACAAGCCCACAAGATGAAGAACAACACAACATCAACGCGGAGAAGCGAACCGAAGAGAAGTAGCAGACACTATACATATATGTCGTTAATTGATAAAATTACCCTGAACTCTCGGAAACACTAATGGCCAAATATGCATAGAAGAGGAGAGAGAGAGAGAAAGAGAGAAAGAGAGTTATTGAAATTACAATCTGTCGTCTAGGAAACTGCCGACACTAAAATTGATTGCAAAACTATTCAACTTTCAAAAAGCTAATAGATTATACTAAAGTTCTTTTAAAAATCAAATATGTTACAATTTATTCATTGTGTATGTTCTATATTAAGCGTAATATGTCATAATATAAAAAATACGTATAAATAAATAAATAAATAAAAATAACTAAAGAACTTATATAGAATATTAGACCATTGTAAATATTTTTGGAGTTCTGCTCAATGTGTCTCTTTTTCTTATGGTACTATGAAAAATAAATATTTATAATATTTATAGTATAACCTTTTTTTTGTAAGTTTGAAAATTGTTGTAATTAATTCATATAACTCAAGCGAGTCATTCTTAGGCGATTCTCTCGCACAAAGAATCTCTAGGGTGAAATGGTTATGTTGCTTCGGATGAGAAAAAAAAATACGTAGTGGCTTTCCGTGTACGCGATTTCGTTCGTCTTACTACATGGTGCAACTCACAGCAGGATTTATGGATATACCTTGTAGATTTTTCTTAGGCTTCTAGTATGCACTTTTCAAATACTTGTCTATGAAATTCCAAAGGACCCGAATATATACGTATAGAGTGTCCTATTCTAAACTTCATTATTTTTACAAAGATCAATAATAATAATAACTTTATTTATAATAATATTTAAACGAAAACTTTCCAAGATTACATTCTTATAACAATTTGAAGAATTTCAATATAAAGATTTATTGAAATATTTGTTAATATTACTAAAGACGTTAAATTCAAATAGAACACCCTATATATGCGTGATACATCATGGATACATCATGATAATATACTAATGTTACTACATCTATTACTTTTCTTTTCCTTGACTATAGTATTTTATTTCTTCACTTTTCCACTTATCGATCGATGAACTTGTTTTTTCTTTTAATTTCTTCTTTTTCTTATTTTTCTGTTTCCTTATGTTTCGGACACGCAAGCAACCGCAACGTACATTGGTTTTAATTGCCATTTGTGACGAAGCGATTCAGGAAGTGGTGCATTATCATCCATGTAACTGTCATCTTCCATCAAAGTGGTCGTATCTCGTTCGCTAAGGATGTGTATCTGAAAATTATCGTTTTCAATTAGAAAAGAAATAAAACTCTTCATGAATGAATTATTATTACATTGTATACTCTTTATCCTGAATGATTCCTGATAATTCTTTAACACATAACAACAATTACATAAATAACAACAATGAAATAAATGAAATATTGTAATAATAATATAAACATCCAACTCACCATATATTTTAACAATTTACATGAATTAAATTTATCCTGACATGCTTTCGGTTTGCAGCTGGATACTGTTATATGTCTAGGATAGTGTCCCTCACCTAGATCCTTTATCTCGTATTGACTCTCACAAGGACAATAGCTTTGAGAATATAATATATTCTAACAAAAAGAATATATATATATATATATATATATATATATATATTATTTGAATCATATAATATATTACATCTATTATATATATAATTTTGCATTCATGCGTAAATGTATATGAATATCAATAAAAATAATCTAAAACAATTTGTATGAATTAAGTAGTGTTAGACCATTTTCTAAATCCTTTTTTGGGTACGGTTAAATATATATTTTTTTTTCTTATCAAACAACGGCATAAATATTTATAATATTTAAGATGTAACATATATATTTCAATCAATCGCATAATATAAATAGCAAGGGAATATATTATTCATTAATATTTAACAAAAATTAATTATATTAACTCGTGATTTGATATTGAAGTTATATTTAAATAGAAAATGTAAATGAAAAACAATTGGCTCTTATGCAAATAGATAGATCTTCGTTAAAAAAGCTTATATATATTTTAAATATAATATCCTGTCGGCATAATTCACATAGCTTGAATTTTTGTACGCGTTAAAACCATCTACACAATAAATCAAAATTATAAAATGAAAGGGATTCATCGACTTACTCTACGTTTCACTTCGTTCAATCCGCCGGATAGATACATTTGTTTATAAAACAATGAATTTTGATTTTGATTTTCTGGAAAATGTTCGTAATCCATTAAAGATTTCGCCTTGGATAAATCATTTTTCAATCGATCCAAAGAAAACTGATGATTTGTTTCTTGAGCCAATAGGCCTCGTAGGATCATCTAAAAATTCCAAATAAAACATAAGTTAAGGAAGTAAAAAACGTCTTACTTATTATTTGTCGTCAAAATTTGTAAAATACAAATAACGAAATTATAATTTATCTCATAATTTATTATATTAGTTAATTAGATAAATGTGGAATAGGGCTTTTCTTATGCTTACGTATAAGAGGATAATTTTGATGTCCATAATGTGATAATTCTCCTTCTAGACTCTATCGAAAACTGGCTATCTTAGCTGAGAAGTACCTCCCTTATATACAATATTTTTTCAATAAAGATACCCTAAGACAAGTCAAATGTCTTTCAACTTTTCAAAAGGACCATTAATGCTATTCGATATCCATAGTCAAGGCTTATTTCACAGTCCTAATCTTTTGTGTTTCTCGAGGTCATGTTTCTTCAAGACACATCTTTCTTCTTCTTTTTGTCGCTAATACCATTAACGGTAAAAATATAACTCACATATTTTCTTTCTCTTCGTGTTTCTTCATATAGCTCCGAGTAATTATCGTCGATTCAAAAATCTTTCTTAAAATAAAAAGAAAGAAAGCAAATCAAATGATTTAGTTGAAAACTTGTTCAAGCTTTAAATTAAAATCATTTCTTTTTCGTTTTTAATCTTTCAAGATTATTATATTATTTATAAATTAATAATATTTACCATAATAATTGATTTTTAAACAAGTATCAAAACAGCCAAGTAATTTTGCGTGCACGTAGTTATAAAATCTTAAATCTACTCTAAGAATCGTATTTATTTTCAAATCTCACGCTTCAGTATCCTTTCACCTTTGACCTCTATCTATTTTTTTTTACCCCTTTCTCTTCCTTTCACTCTTTCTTTTTTCAGATTATTTGATTTCATTTTAATCATTTTTTAATGATTAACATCGTGTGATGCTTACAAATTATCTATACAAAGTACGATTATTCATTTCATTTGTTTTTGTAAAATCTTAAGTTTATAATTATATACATATTACTGTGTGCTATTTATATTAGGGGTACAGAAAAGTAATCCAAATTTCTTCGGTTAGTGCACTCACATTTAGTTTGTGTCAATAAAAAATCGAAGGACTTTTTATAAAGGGAATTGAACAATTTCCTTTACGAAAAGCAAAAAGTGTTAGAAAATGATGAACCAATTTTTTGTTGAAATTTTTTATTTAAAATTTCTTTAATAAATAAATATTTTTGGTCAACAAAGAAAAATGTTGATTACTTTTTGGTCCCCCTAATATCATTCATTAAAAAGACCAAATTAATTTCTCTTGTGTATACTTAAATATTTAATATTCTTCCTATTCTAAATAACATCCTGAAATGATGAAGATCGAAGTTGTTATATCTTTTTTTAATAAGATAGAAAACTTAAATTATACATAGAAAAAAATGTAAGATTAACTATCGCTATCGATCGCATATGTTTATGAAAATTTGATCACTTGTCGTATTAGAGAAACTACTAATAAGTAGTATTCAAAGCTGACCAACATCGTGCTTTCGTGCACGCACGCATGCATACACATGCACACCCATAAATATACACGTTATTACGCACCTTTCACGGCCGCTTTGAATTATTTTCTGCACCAGATACTACAAGGATCGATCGATTGTCAGCTGACTTTCAGCAGCTTTATTCAGCCACTTTTACCATACGCTTATTTAATCTCCTCTTCCTTTGTTGTTTTCGTTACTATTTTTTTTTTCTTTTATATATATATATATTTATAAGCGATTTTCAATGTCCAAAAGGTATCCTTTCATTGAAGATCAGTTTAATTTTCCAAAAAGATACGAGCGATTAATTACATGCTTTTGGATACATTTTGAACCTTGACAAAATAAACATGAATAATTTTAGATTATTTTTATTTTATTCTTGTCAAATGTAATAAGTTTGTTAATTATTATTATTTCTTTTTTTAATAAAGAATTTCGATGAAAAAATACAAAGATTATATACACTGTCTTACTTTCTAGTTAATCTCCTGTAATTAACTACAACATTGATGTCTCATTCCTCAAGAATGTTAAGTTCTTTTCATCAAAAGAAGGATGATGATTTAATATCTGTTGTAAGGTACAGCTACTCTTCTTTGTTAATATTTCAAGATATTGTCGTTGTCTTTGAAAATTATCTCTACGAAGATTTCATTGAAAAGTATATTAAAATATATGTAGATGCAGGTATTAGTACAGTATGCATATTCATCTCTAATTGAAAATATTTTCTATCTATGATACGTTGATAACCTCGATGTAATAATAATTAAAAAATCATATCATTAATAATAATATAATAAAGGAACGCATGAACATAATAAAAAAAATGTCTCTTCAAGTTTAATGTATACGAATGTATAGTCATAGCAATCACGATAAAATAAAGAGTTGCTAAAATATAAAATATAAATGTAGAATATAAAAAAAATAAAAAATTAATAAGAAAAAATTGAATGTCCACTTGATATAGATTATTTTGTTAAAAGGCTTTCGATGATAAAAGTACGATATACTTTGGAAGGGTGATTCTTCGCGCTTTTTATCGCGCAGACGCGTTTAGTTACTCCTTTTCTACCCCCGTTCGACGAATCTCCCTCACCCTCACCCTCACTTGAAACACTATATATTTCAAGGGAGCACGAGGATCGAGACACTTTCCAGTACTTTTCGTGGCACGTCACTCCGAATTTGTCGAGATTTCAATTAGATAAACGAAATTGGGATCGATACAACATCGATCATGAAGACTCACGTGACTTCTTTCTTTATCACAAGCATATTTATCGTTGCTTGTACATCCATTTCGGCATTACAGGTAATAACGTAATATAATTTTATTTATTTATTTATATAATTGCTTTTAAATATATCATTGAATGTTAAATATTAAAATTTATCTTATGTGTCGAACTGCAATTTTGTGTGAAACTTTAAAAAAAATACGTGTGCCTATTCGAAACACGAAACACGAGACAGGCAAGAACTTTATTTATGCATACTAAACATCTTATCTCTTTGAAAAAAATGTTCTCTCTTTGCATGGAGATCAGTTTTGATTTAACTTTAGATAAACTTCTTTTGATATGTCTTTTTTTTCTCTTTTAATCGTATACATACTAGATAAACAAAATTAATTAATCATCCGTTCAATATATACGTATTTCGTTGGAATATTATTATTTCTGCGAACGAATAATTACAATCTAAATAATTTCCTAGATATTAATATTATTATTATATTTTTATAATATTTATCAGGTACAGAACGATGCTAATCAATTACAACGAGAAAATTACGAGCCAGTCGTGACGGACTTTCTTGTTAAATACTTGGACTTGGATCGCAGTAAGTATTACTTTTTACTTACAATTCATTTACTTTTTTCCTTAAATTAGTTTCGAAAAGAAAACAAAAAAAACGATCACGTTGAGATAAAGCAATTCTCGAAAAAGAAAAAAAGTTGCGTGCACGGTAATGGGTTTTCGTAGTATCTACCTAACTATCTGAATACATTCAAAGTCTTTACTAATTTTTCTTTCTTAAGTACGACGCTACTCACTAATGTATAATCTCTCTACTCACTTTTATAATAAATTATATATGTTCCCAAAGGAATAATGTTGAGTAGGATCAATATTGTTGTTTTGTTGTTGGGGGTCAAGTCTTCCAGGGTATACGCACACACGTGCATTTTACAACATTACGATTATTTGCAACAACAACAACAACAACAAATTCTTATTGCATGATGGACTACTTTTCTTCTTCTTCGTTTTCTTCTTTTTACGATAGTTCGTAAATAAAAATTTCCTTCCAATCAATAAAACAGAAAAACTAATGGGAATTAGAGTTCCTTCCATAAAGAATTAGTCCTATAAAAGAAAAAATTCATAAAAGAAAAATTTCACAAGCAATATCATAACTGAGACATAAAAAGATTTTTTCCGTGCGATAACGCGTAAAAGAGTTCTCGTTATTTTAATTAAAAACTTCAGAAAGATAGAAATGCAAATAAATAATTACTTATATTTTTATTTCTCTGCTTGCGCGATGAAACATCCGGCATCGCTAAATCCTTCGGGAGAGGTAAGCCATAAAAAAAAGAAACAAATTTATCCTGATTCGTAATTAATGTTTGATGGAATTATAATATATTATAATAATTTCTTATCACAATGTGATAAAAGGATTGAACATCAATTCTATTGATTATAATTTCTACAAAATGAATGAAAATATTAAATAACAAGAAAACATATATAACTTTGCATGAAATATTTTGATAATACAAATACAATAATCTTCTTAATGTTAGTGTAATTATTTCTTCTTATATTTCAGAACCGGGAATATCCAAAGCACAAAAAACAATCGGAGTGAACGAGCCGAGTGTTGTCAAACGAAACTTGGATCAAATTGGTGGTGGAAATCTCGTACGAAGCGTATCAAACTTTAACAAATACAATGGTGAACGTTCTTTAAGAAATCTCGATCAAATTGGTGGTGGAAATCTGCTCAGAGATCTGAGTGGCTTTAAGTTTGGTGCGAAACGTAATTTGGATCAGATAGGTGGTGGAAATCTCGTGAGAAACTTGGACCAAATCGGTGGTGGAAATCTCGTAAGAAATTTGGATCAAATCGGCGGTGGAAATCTCGTAAGAAATTTGGATCAAATCGG